AATGAATCTACTACCGGATCGGAATCGCGACCCACTAAGAAGATCCGTCGAGAAGCTCAGTGGGATCAGCCCACTGAGTTTCTCTGAGTTGCATCACTGAGTATGGTTACCGGGGTCCCTAAGCCTGCTCCTAGTGTTGGAGCTGAAAGCGTCTAAGGTAACGTGATGGATCCGTATGAACGTGTCTAGGGCGTCGACGGTGACTGGATCCTGCGTGATCAGAATTCGGGGAGTAGTCAACTGCGGCGATAAAACGATTATCATGACGCATAATCTTATCAAAGTACCGTTCCGACGCTAACTTCATGTATTTCCGGATTAATTCGAGGCCCAGATCGTCGTGTACGTGGTCGTGTAGGTCAACATTCCTCACAAGCCACGGAGCTCCGACGCCTTAGTCTTGTACTACAGTAAACGCAAATCTTTTTTTATTTATTTACATTATCATTAATCAATATTTGTTAATTTACTTTTTTTATGTTAATTCGTTTGAAGGTAATCAGGTAAGCGATAGGCAGCGGCTTGGCTCTGCCCTTGGCATTGCTGAAGTCCATGGGCGACGATAACCACTCACCATCAGGTGGGCCATATGCTCGTCTGCCTACAAAGGCAATAAAAAAAAAAAAAAANATCTTTTTTTATTTATTTACATTATCATTAATCAATATTTGTTAATTTACTTTTTTTATGTTAATTCGTTTGAAGGTAATCAGGTAAGCGATAGGCAGCGGCTTGGCTCTGCCCTTGGCATTGCTGAAGTCCATGGGCGACGATAACCACTCACCATCAGGTGGGCCATATGCTCGTCTGCCTACAAAGGCAATAAAAAAAAAAAAAAAAGTTGGGAAATTTTATACATATTTACAAATAACATGTGGTATTTTAATTTGCCACTTCTCATTTGAGATTTCAATAAATTATATTAATTACAATTAAATTCATTAAATTCCTAACATAACCTTTAATAGGTTGGGGAAAAGTATCTTCGCATTTTTTAAGAAAATTAACAATTTTTTTTTTATATAGTTTATTTACATTTAACTAAAGTATGTAGGCACCATTTTGTTCGATAACTTTTTGCCATCTTGTAGGTAGGGACATGATCCCATTGCTATAGAAATTTTGGGGCTTCTGATCAAAATACCGCGACAATTGGTTTTGACAGTCCTCTCGTGATGTTAACCTGACACTGCCTAAAGAATTCTGAAGAGACTGAAACAAGTGGAAATCTGAAGGTGCAAGGTCAGGACTATACGGCGGATGCATTAACACCTCCTAGCCAAGCTCTCTTAATTTTTACTGAGTGGCTAAAGATGTGTGAGATCTAGCGTTATCATAATGAAAAACCACACCCCTTCTGTTGATTAATTCCGGCCGCTTTCTCTCAATTTCTTGCTTAAAACTCATCAGTTGTTCGCAGTAGAGCTCAGAATCGATGGTTCTACCTGGTGGTAACAGCTCATAATGAATAATGCCCGTCCAATTCCACCACACACACAGCATCACCTTGTTGCGAATTAACCCGGGTTTCGTCACAGTCTGTGAAGCCTGACCGACCTTTGCCCACGATCTTTTTCGCACGTTCTTGTCGTACGTGATCCACTTTCCATCACCAGTTATCAGCTTCTTCAACAATGGTTCAGTTTCATTACGTCGTAATAAAGAATCACAAATGAGTACACGGTTCATTAGGTTTCTTTCAGTGAGCTCGTGAGGTACCCAAATATCGAGCTTTTTGTGTACCCAGTTTTTTTTCAAATGCGCCAAAACTGTTTTGTGGTCAATTCCCAGTTCTTCAGCTACATCGTAACTACTGATATGCCGATCTTGCTGCACTTTTTCAAAAAGGGCATGCATTTTATCCTTATCAGAGCGACGTGCATATTTGACATCAAAATTTCCGGATTGAAAACGCTTAAACAAAGTGCTACTCTCACAGACTAGTATAGTACACTAGGTCCATAAACATCGCAAATTTTTTTCGTGGCTTGCGTTGCATTTTTACCTTTTTTTTTTGAATTAATTTGAAGTCGTCGTGGCCTAAGGGATAGGACGTCCGGTGCATTCGTGTTGAGCGATGCACCCGGTGTTCGAATCTCAGGCGGGTACCAATTTTTCTAATGAAATACGTACTCAACAAATGTTCACGATTGATTTCCACGGTGAAGGAATAACATCGTGTAATAAAAATCAAACCCGGAAAAAATATAATTTGCGTCATTATTGGTGATAGGACCTCTTGTGACTTAAGATCACGTGGGCTGTGAGCTCGTCGACCCAACTAAGCAATAAAAAAAAAATAAAAAAAAAAGTTCTAAGGTCTCAAGTATAGTTACAACAACGAAATAGGCAGGGCGGTGGTACCTACCCGCGCGGACTCACAAGAGGTCCTACCCAGAGGCGGATTATCCGTAAGGCAAACTAGGCACGTGCCTAGGGGCGTGTAGTTACAAGGGGCGCGCGAGCTCAGAATTTTTAAATAAATAAAGAAAATAACATTTCATTGATTAAGAACTAAATGCTGATCTATAATCTAAATCTATAATAGATTATATTGCACAAGCATCGATATACTCGTATTATGGAATATTGCAAATCAAAAATTCTTCCACCTGCAGAAAGCTACGCTATTCCCACGGTAACGGGATCTACGCGGGTGAAATCGCGGGACGTTCTCTAGTGATATATTCATAACACACCATCATCTGTCAACACACATAAACATTAAGGCCTATTTCCCAGAGCAGAGAGGAATCATGAATTTAGATGTTCGTTCTGTCGTCCCTCTTGATTTTTTCACAGTTATAACGTCATATTTCATTCGCGCATTAGCGTAAGTACAAGGGTCCTGGTCTACTAAAGTCTAGGGCTTGATGATACAACGTCATCGTAATTGCAAAAACAACTAGTTAAAATTTATAGTATTATGATAACCATTTATGGCCGATACAGGGGTGCGCTTAAAGTGATTGCCTAGGGCGCTCTGGACCTTTAATCCGCCACTGGTCCTATCACCAGTAAAATACATCTGGTGGCGGCATCTACAACGTAAATGTCTCCTCCAGGAGGCCAATGTCCAGCCACTGACCACGTCTGTGGGCTGTAAGATACATAGATAACAAAGGATAAAAGGCAATTGACCGCTTTCCGTGAAAGTTTGGGATACTCTTCAACCATTACGTAAATCTTGTCGCGAACGTCCTACCGTCGAACGGCGAACTCCTAGGGGTCCGCGTACCCCACTTTGAGAAACCGGGCTCTAAAGCAATAAAAAATATTCAGACATACTTACGTGGTCAAATTAGAGATTAGGTACGTTTTCCTACGCTTCTGGATTCTGGCTACGAAACCCTAATTGTGTGACAGTGACGGTGAATATGACGGTGTAGCAACTATATAAAATCAACTCTATTAACCAAGACTTTGAAGAATAACTTAAACCAACACCTTAGTGGCTTGTGACCAAGCACACTTTAAGCTGGAGGTACAAAATATAACCGTTTATTTATATTTACATCTGGAACAAACCTGAGAAAATAGTTGCCTTTCACATGATTTTAAAGTGTAATTTTATTTCTGCTGATTCTGGCTTACTTTATGGCGTGTGATCACAATCGTTAGAAGACGCCACGAATACTAGGGGCACAGCAGACTCACAGGTGTAGGTTACAGGGAAAAGTGAAAGGACCAGGCCGTGGCGCAGTGTATGTCGGCGATACGGAGCTGCTGTGAAAGAGCAACCAGTTCCTGGTGTATCGCGGTTCCGACCCAGGAGGCTGGTTCTAGTCCGGGGGTATTGGAGAACACCAGTGGCACCGCCTGGTACGGACTAACGGGCGGCCGTATCGTGACTCCCGACGTAGAGGCGTCGACTATCAGCTCTGGTGATAGGACCTCTTGTCCGCACGGGTAGTTACCACCACGCTGCCTATTTCTGCCGTGAAGCAGTAATGCGTTTCGGTTTGAAGGGTGGAGCAGCCGTTGTAACCATACTAAGACCTTAGAACTTATATCTCAAGGTAGGTGGCGCATTTACGTTGTAGATGTCAATCATTTACGGTGTGATCAAATAACCGCCCTAACTGGGCTGCCAGTCGCAACCGCCATTCCAGAAGCTGAGGACCGGACGAGATGGAAACAGCTCACGAGACAGGCCACGGTCAATTTTCAGGGACACGACCTTCAGCAATTAAGAAAGCGACGAAGAAGAAGAAGTCTATGAGCTCCAGTAACCACTTAGCACCAGGTGGGCTGTAAGCTCGTCCTCTAGCAATAAAAAAAAAGGTCGACGACTCCGCCGCCGGCCGTCCTTGCTGTGAGCGTATGATTGTCATATCCACCGTGGTAAGTCCACCTTGGTGATTCCTCCGACTCTGCCAGTGCAGTATCGGGCGGGGATCGTGCGTCGGGCGAGAATGCATGAGAATTGATTAGTGGGTGAGCCTTTAACATCTTCGGCCCCCGAGTCCCACATACTCCTTATATAAAAATATAAAAAAAGGCGCAGCCAAACCACACCAACAGATATATTTGTGACATGTGTATTACATATATACATGTTTTGGTCGATATTTATATTATAGCAGCTATTTGAATGGAGTAAACTTTATGATCAATTAAAAACATCGAGCTGTTGATACTAATCTATACTAATATAAAAATCTACAGTGGTTTTTACGGATGTTTAGTTATAACTACTGAACCATGCATCCGATTGACTTGAAACTTGGAATAACATGTAGAAAATAAATGTACTTAATGGATAGGCTAATATTTATATGAGTGTTGAACTCCCTAATAATAATGACAATAAATAATAATGTTAATTTTAAATGCCCAGCGAAGCAGGCGAGTACGGCTAGAACCAAATAAAATTGATCTTTAATTATAAATGTCGCGTATTAAGCGAAATGTCGTTTAAACCAAATAGCCTTTCACCCCTCGATATGATAGGAATAAACATTTAACGATTGCAATACATAAATTAAACAGTGTTTTTAACGTGAACAAGTTTTATTAAAACATTTGCTAAATATGGCGCATAGACTACTATACCATATAGTGAATCTAACGTTAATCTGTAATTGAATTTTTGCCACAATGGACTGTTAGAACTAGGAGTTAGGTATTTGCCTGGCATGAATCCATCACATCATTGACCTATTTTGTTCTTGTATTTTCTCTTTTTCAGCTTAAAACTGTAATATTAACTACGTAAGTAAGACCAGAACATGGCGTGTTTGAAACTATTTATATTTTTAGATATGGAAAAAAAATCATCAACACATAAAGAGAAGATTATATTATGCCTTCCCGTTTCTTCCATTCATCTTTTAATTTGGATATTTTCTGTTTTTTTGTTGCATTCCGTTTATACTTTTTTTCTTCGATAAGTNTTCAGCTTAAAACTGTAATATTAACTACGTAAGTAAGACCAGAACATGGCGTGTTTGAAACTATTTATATTTTTAGATATGGAAAAAAAATCATCAACACATAAAGAGAAGATTATATTATGCCTTCCCGTTTCTTCCATTCATCTTTTAATTTGGATATTTTCTGTTTTTTTGTTGCATTCCGTTTATACTTTTTTTCTTCGATAAGTTTCCTCTGCGCCGATACACTTTCAGGGCCATTGATCATATCATCCAGTTTTTCAATTAACAATTCCCGGGCTTTCTTCCGATTATCGTCTTGACAACGACTTGTGTGACATTTTATGACGGTACCTGAAAATTTCGTTTAATCAATTGAAAAAGTGATTTAATTTTTTTCATTTGCAACAATGAATTTTTTGTGATGGGAAGATTGCTGTTCAGGTAAATGAGCTGGCGGGCTCAGATAGTATCGAGGGGTAAATCTGCTCATGACTCATCTGGTGTGGCTAAATAATAAAACAATGGACCTACAAATTATTATTTATTTAAATTATAATATAAATTATTATTTACAAACTTGTGTAATTACTGACAGTTGTAAAGAGCACATCAGTAAGTGCCACTATTCTCACTGTTACTTCAGTTAGCAGTTAAAGATTATGTTTTAACAGTAAGACAACTATGACAGGGACAGGACAGGACAGGGAGGCGGATCTCGCCCAACCCCTGGCCCTCTAGGTGTTTCGGGTCCCCCCTCACATGTCGGTCTGGGGACCGGCGAGGGGAGCCTAAGAAGACGACGTGCAAGCTGCTCTGCACGCGTTTTACGCAAGAGCATCCGGGTGATGGAAGGCCGGCTATCCTCGACCCACGCTGGTTCTGACCCAGCGGGGTATTCCGTAGGATAGCTCACTCTAACCGGCGCCATCTAGGCGGGCTCCGGATAGCATGCCGACCGAGAGGGCTGGTGGTCGTGGCGCCGACGACCGCCAGTCCGGCGTCCCGAGGGGGAGGGTGATGGGAGAGATGTGCTCCACACTAAACGCTTCACTTTCCCCCCTTTGCCTCTTCATGAGTTCTGTCTCATGCGAGGTTTGGACGTTGGTTGTTGAGCGACAGGAGGTTTTAGTCAGTTCGACTCTGACATGCTCCGCCCTTTATCCCCAGTGGAGGGCGGAAGTCCGGCGATTTCCAAAAAAAAAAAAAATATTAATATGAAATTAGTGTTTTGTCGTACTGACCAATTTGATCTGAAATATCTCCTTTTTGGTTAAACATTCCTAATTCAAATTTATAAATTCATTTAGCTCAGCGGTCAGGGAACCGGGGTAAATTACCCCAAATGGGGTAAAATGAAAATGGGGGGGGTAAAAATGAAACTGCCCTGAAATTTTCCCGAAAAAATATTTTTAAATTTAAAAAGCTTTTTCATGGGGGCTATATATAAATTTTAAACTAGTTTTTTCGTCTAATAATACAAGAAAAATATCATATCAATTATAAAATAACACAAAATTATCATTTACTTAAATTTTCTGTGGGGCGATTTTTTATCCTCAACTGTATATTACATATATTATTATTATTACCATTATGTATTACTATGTATTACATTGATAAATTGAATAAATGATGTTTAAATTAAATTTTTAGTTATTTGTTTTGTTTTCAGAATTATCATGGGGGCTATAATATGAAAGATGCTAAAAAGAAGCGATTTCGTTTTTTTTTTGTTCTTACACAAAAATATTTTGGGGTAATAATTAAAAAAGAAGGATTAATGATGTGTACGGCGCTGGTGTTGCAGAAGAAAGCACGGTACAAACTTATAGTCTTTGCTCACCCCATTAAATGCAACAAAGTCTAAATTACAATAAATTAATAACCACCTCACAATTTAAATTAAAATGCATGGGTTACAGTAGATCGTCATAACAATATTTACCTGTGGGGATGTGTGTAAGAACCACACAATTAGAATTCTTGTTTACAGCTGACCCTCCTGGGCCACTTCCTCTAACAAATTTTTCAGATAATTCACACTCATTGATCTTTGGTACTTTGGAATAATCTATTGTATGTTTAAAGGCAGCTGCTAAGCGTGGACTGAAATTTCTAAAATATTTTGAAGTGAGCAAGAACATGTCACACAACTGACCCTCTCTGCAGCAAGGCCTGACCTTTCTGTAAAATAAAACAAGTCATTATTTTTCTATATTATTATTTATTGATATTAAAAATAAAACTACTTATTACTAATTTAGTATATTTGAATCGTGACTTCATTACGAATTCAAATTTTGTTTGTAGCATGTTGGTTTTTAAAAGAAAACAAATATTATGTTTAAATAGGTACCTGATACGCGAAGCTAATTTTCTCCAGATCAGTTAAGTTTTGGTTATTTTTGAATTCGATTTTAATTGAGCGCCGAAAATAATCTGGGTCGGTGAGTTTTAATGATTTCGAGTACATCAACAAATTTCTATACAACCTTAATACTTCTTTCCGGGTAATATTCATAATTTTATTAGTAGATAAGTGAGAAAATTCAAGATATTTATGATTATTTTTCTATGGCCACGAAAACTGTAATGATGATTAAAAAAATGTCGTAATTATGTAATTAAATTCACAAACCCGGAATAAAACAGGTCAAAAGTTCTTATGTTTTTTTTTGGTTTAGGGTCTACCGTCTATGGTTATTTTATTAAGCAGTCTTCCCATTTTTCAACTCACACGGCAAAGGTATTAAACCATACAGCCCAATCCTTTGTATATTGTTTTATGAAAATAGATATGGAACGAAATGAAACAAAGTTGATTAATTTTAGTCATTATTCAATTGACATTGTGGGGCCTTCGCGTGAATCTTGGTTCAGGCAATATGGGGTTTGGGTCCGTTACCGGAATGACTGTGTCCAATTTCACACACACAGCTATTTATTACACAAAAACAATTAGAAGGAGAAAAGCAACAAGCACAAGCACAGTTGGATAGCTCACAGCAAACGATAAGAAAAAGTCCAGGCAAAGAAGGAGACATAAACTGTATGTTATACACTAAACATTCAATATTTAGTCGATCGAGACATTCTTAAGCGAGTAAATGTGACGTCAGCTTTGTGGTCAGAGGTCTGCGGACGACTGGCGCGAGAAGCTGCGACGGCGCGGCGCACTTCGCACCGTTCACACAAAGACTTCTGAACTACGCATGATGTTAAAGGAAACCACGCGAAGTAGGATAAAATATATTTTGGGTTTACTAAGATTTTTCAGTGAACTTTTTGGAAGATCTCAAGAAGATACATTCGACGCTTTGTTTCTTTTTGCCACATTTGCACACTTTCACTGATTACAGTTATTGCTTGTTCCGTACATCGTGTACGGAACATTCAGGCATCATACCTTCGTGTACATCTAAAAAAACACTAAGTTAACATAGTAATAGTAGGTACATAGTAATTTACACAACTTCACTTCTTTCGTTCCTGCAAAAAGCTTCTTTAATACAATTTTTTTTCGGTTTGTTTATCCATTTGTGCAGGCAAAAGCAATGTGAATCATAAGCCATTTTTGGAAGTCTACATCTTTTAGAATTAATCGTAGTTCTATATTTATTATATATTATTTATATTTCTATATTTATTCTATAGGTATAAAGTATTTCTCAACATCTTCATAACATACATAGATCAAACAAATCGCATGATATCTCATTGAGTCACTAGTTCATTACACATCATTCGTTGGGATCAGTCAATACCGTCTTTACCATAAGGGCACACGGGGCCCGTGCCCAGGGCCCTCATTCTCAGGGGGCCCCGAAAGACCGACAATTTCTCTCACACGTTTATTCTCAAAACATTTTTTCAGGCACATTACACTTTTTTCACAAATCAGTAATCACAAGGCATAGTATATGCGTATAATAGAAGATTTTGCTCAACAGAAATCCCGAATGAAAGCGTTATCGAAATCGTAACCAAAAAACCAGCAGCATTCTAATATCATTAATGACATATTATAAACTGTATTTGATTACCTATAATAAATGGGCATACTCACTAAAAAATATTATTATAATTAGCTTTTTTTACTTTCCAAAAGGGCCTCAAATTTTTGTGTGCCCAAGGGCCCCATCCTAGTTTAAGACGTCCCTGGGATCAGTATAGTTTGGAGTTGAAAAGTACGATTCTAATTGGTGATTTAACACAACGTTTTTAAAACAAAAACATTATTGTTTTTATTGAACTGTTATGTGAAATGTTTTATTTTACCAATTTTAATGTTCTTCGGACTTAAATCTTGTAAAAATCGTGTCTTTAGTTAAATTGTGAAAATGTTAACTAAATGAAGAAATAAAAAATTAACTGATCAACATATTCTGTTGGATAATTAAAAAAATATTTAAATCTTTAAATTAATTCCCACTTACATTAAAATAAAAAAAGGTTTTATCATCTCATTTCACTATTTGTCAAAAATGCTTGGCGTTTTGGTGTATGTTCCCTTGGCTTACTTAAAGTGCTTAATGAACAAAACCAAAACAAATTATCACCACACCAGCTTTGACACCAGCTCTGAAAATTAAAGTTGAAACTATTGCAGAGGTGTTGCAGAGTAAATTTACTTTTTCTCTTTGTTCAGTGTTTAATTGCGCTTTTAAATCGCAACGAAGTATTTTATTAATTGAAAGTAGTCCCTGTTGATTTTCTTTGTTCCTTATTGATATTTGAGGTTTCTCCTAAAAACAGGGACTTTTTTGTTGACATCATTTCGTTATTCGGCCAAAATGTTTCGACCTGACGCTTTAGATGAACGAGCTGCATTAGACCGACAGATTATTCACAGCAATCTTATAAATGTCGATGTCATTTCTCAAATCGAAAGAGAATTGCAAGATGAGCCGTATGACATGGTATCTCTAGTGTTCCTGTTGTATGAAGTACCGGATACTGCTTTGCAGAAGTTAGTTACACATCAAAAGATAGTGACAGAAATGCTTGGAACTAATTTGAATTTACTTCATGACTGGTATCAGCATTCAAAATCGAAACCCACTTGGAAACATGAGTTCCTGGAGGCACTTCTTATTTGTCAATTGTTTAACATAGTTCGAAGAATAGGATTTGATGTCCAAACGCTTCGAAAGCATTACCAGACAGATTACCCAGGATTAAGTATGTATGTTGATCCTTTAAGAAAGATTTTATATAAAATATGTGAAGAAATAGACACTCCAAATTTAATAAAACTTCAAAAATCCTTATTGACATATGATATAGATGTAAGCGGGCACAATATATGTGAAATTATATTACTTGAACTTATGTCAAGAAGATTCATAGGGATTAAGTATTACAGACATGATGAAAAATACCTTACTGAAATAAAAATTGATAAGTTTCTGAGAATAATTGAAAACTTTGATGGATTGAGAAAGTTATCATTAGATTTAAAATTTCTACAGAATAAATTTGCCAATGAAACAAATCCAAATAATTCCCTCAAGTGTAAGATGGATACTACATCACAACAAAATGAACAACCTGTATTAGTTGAACATACAAATGAAGGAGGGATTTTTGATATTAACAATCTTTTAGACATACATGAAGATTTAGAAAAATTGCAAATTAATGATGGTTTTCATTTTGAAGCCGATAAGAATAGACACATGGAAGAAATTTATGAAATAAAAAATAAAAATAGATTAGGATTGTGTTTAATAATAAATCAAGAGAACTTCTATCCATCAAGGCAAAGTATAGAACTTAACAATCAAATGGATCCATTACAAACAAGGACTGGATCAACCAAAGACAGAATTGCATTAGAAAATACAATGTCATTATTTAATTTCGTAGTTAATAGTCGTTCTGACTTGGGACACAAAGAGATGATTAATTTCATAAAAGATAATATCAAAAACAATATTCATGAAGATGATAGCATGTTCATGTTATGTATTTTGTCACATGGTGTGCGAGGGCACATTTTTGCAGCAGATTCAGTGAAAATTAAAGTTGAAGATATACAAAAGCTATTGGACTCTGATGAAGCAAAGAAACTGCATTGCATACCGAAAGTTCTTATAATCCAAGCTTGTCAAGTTATTGAAAACCAAAATCCATATCTAACAACTGACTCGCCCTTGGGTAATATATTCATAAAAAAATCAGATTTTCTAGTATACTGGGCAACAGCACCTGAATATGAAGCTATAAGACACATTACTAAAGGAACTGTGTTCATACAAAATCTTTGCAAAGCAATTAGACTTTATGGAAATAAAAAACATTTATCAGATATTTTTACTATTGTCAATAATACAGTCACAAACTACTGCATGAAACTGAATCATCCTCAGGTTCCCATTTATGAAAATAGCTTAAGAAGGGCACTTTACTTATTTAAGCCATGATAGAAATTAAGAATATTAATGTTAAAACTCAAAATTGAATGTAGATAAGAGAAAGTAATCTCCTTCAAGTAGGATGCCATATTTTTATATTGCTAATATTTAGGAAAGTAATCCTATTCTCTTTTTTTTTTGGTCAGGAGGAAATGGCCGGACTTCCGCCCTCCACTGGGGATGGAGGGCGGGGCATGTCAGAGTCGAACTGACTAAAACCTCCTGTCGCTCAACAACCAACTTCCAAACCTCGCATGAGACAGAACTCATGAAGAGGCAGAGGGGGGAAAGTGAAGCGTTTAGTGCGGAGAACATCTCTCCCATCACCCTCCCCCTCGGGACGCCGGTCCGGCGGTCGTCGACGCCACGACCACCAGCCCTCTCGGTCGGCAGGCTATCCGAAGCCCGCCTAGATGGCGCCGGTTAGAGTGAGCTATCCTACGGAATACCCTGCTGGACCAGAACCAGCGTGGGTCAAGGATAGCCGGCCTTCCATCACCCGGATGCTCTTGCGTAAAACGCGTGCAGAGCAGCTTGCAAGTCGTTTTCTTAGGCCCCCACGCCGGTCCCCAGACCGACATGTGAGGGGCACCCGAAACACTTAGAGGGCCAGGGCTTGGGCGAGATCCGCCTCCCTGGCCCCCGCTCGACGGCGGCGGGATGCGTCTCTCACGCGCCCCTCCGCATCCTGCGAGATGGTGCACTCGCAGGAGTCGAGAATCGCTTTCCACGACTCGTCGTCGCCGAACATCGATGCCACAACACTCGGCAACGACAATGTAAATATTCTCTAGGATATAAAATATCCTAAATAGGCTCCTGGATAATCTGATTTTTAAAATATCAGATATTTTGAGATCCTTGAAGTTTGAACCGAGTTGCACTGAGTGACTGTTGTTATTGGGACTTTAAAATTAGTGATATTATCAAACCAAATTCTTAATGATTATTTATTCCAATTGAAATTATAATATTCTATGAAAGAAAAATGCTCAGTAGTTTTATTATATGAAAACAAATAGCAACAATACCTGAACAATACTGTGTTATGATGAATCTCATGATTTGTATTTTTTCCACAAAATAATTTCATTTTTTTTTATTGCTTAGATGGGTGGATGAGCTCACAGCCCACCTGGTGTTAAGCGGTTACTGGAGCTCATAGACGTCTACAACGTAAACGCGCCACCCGCCTTGAGATGTAAGTTCTAAGATCTCGAGTATAGTTACAATGGCTGCCCCACTCTTCAAACTGAAACACATTACTGCTTCACGGCAGAAATAGGCAGGGTGATGGTACCTACCCAGGCTAACTCACAAAAGGTCTTACCACCTGTAATTACGCAAATTATTATTTTGCGGATTTGATTTTTATTACACGATGTTATTCCTTCACTGTGGAAGTCAATCGTGAACATTTGTTAAGTAGTACGTCTTTCATTAGAAAAATTGGTGCTTCCCGCGGGATTCGAACACCGGTGTGCATCGCTCAACACGAATGCATCGGACGTCTTTAGTCTACGGGCACGAAACTTGCGATGGCGGCAGCGAGGCGACGCGACGCGGGGCGGGCAGGTAGCGATATCTCACGCGGGCACGAAACAAGCTGGCAAGCAGTCGCGCTCATACAGTATTGTGCGAATCATGAGTTTACGTCGAAAAGAACTATTGAAGCCTAGTCTCCTAATGAGGGAATTATTATTACTTAGAAATGGTGTTCATCAAATAAATCAACGAAGACGCAATTTGGGAGAATTTTCTACGCTTTATTACGAGCTACGGTGTCATTCAATTAAGTTTTAAATTCTTTGTTAAATTATAAATTCCTCATTATCAATTTCCATTACTAAAATATAAATTCAACACAACACTGTAGCCGCGCAAGCGACGAAACCAAACTAGTTTGTTCTCGTCGCTTCCGCGTCGCCGTCGCCCCATCATCGCCCGTACATCGCTCAATCGCCCCGCTCCGCCATCGCCCGTTTCGTGCCCGTCCCCATACTGTGCAATGCTTTTGTATACATCGCCGCCGCGCCGCTGTCGCCATCGCTCGGCAATCGCAAGTTTCGTGCCCGTAGACTTAGGCCACGACAACTTCAAAACATAATCAAATATAAATAATTATTTATTTATTTCTCTCTTAAAAGTATAGTACAAATACAAATGGAAATTAACCTTATAATTTATTTAGTAAGCCTTTAAAAGAGCTGAAGTTTGTACTAGGTCCAAAGACCTGTATTACTGATCTCCAGGCTCCCTCCTTCTTAAGATAGATAGAATCGAGTAAACTTAATTGAAGTTTAATTAAAAACAAGCAACTCTTGATGCTAAAAGTGCTAATACTAAATAAAATGGACCTTTAATTACAATGTTGAAAGTCGCTTATACCCTCGGGTATATAATTATGCTCTTGAGCATCCGGATTCTGGAGGGACCGATTATCATTTTAATTGTTTTAATTATTCAACAGGTGAATGAATATTAATAAAGTGAAATGTTGCTTAAACCAAATAACCTTTCACCCCTCAATATTGTTGAAAGGGAAATTTAAATAAAATATTATGCATTTCAAGTTATATTTTCAATATTTATTTTAACATCAGTTTTTGTGAAATCCAAAACCGCTTGTTCCAATTGCTGCCTTTCCTCAGGTGTTTTTAACTTAACCCACCTTGCATCCAGATAAGCTCTTTGAAACTTTTGTATAAATTTGAAAGTATGTTTTAATGTTGCACCAACATGTAATGTATTCAGTCTAACATTTAATTTTCCAATAGTTTTAACAAAAGGCAAAGAACTTGTAACAAATCTGTGTGGTCCATGTCTTACTCGTATTATAGCAATTCTTGTGCTTTCATTGCAATATTTAGTTAAAAATCCCGACTTAATAGCAGCGACCCCAAAATCACCATGGATTTGCTGCACTTTATGCAATACTGTGCTATGAAAGATACCCGGTTTCAACTGTAATGGCGTTTTTTCTGAAACTGTTGGACATACAATTTCTACAGTTATATATCTGGAAAAATACAAAAAAAAATTTAGAACCTTATAGCTTTTATTTTAGACGTATCTTTGAATTTTGTAATCAATTTGAAATTTGTTTTTTAATAAAAAAATTCTACAATAAGCTTTGAATTCTGTTGGAGTTTGAATATGAATGTAATGGCAGGCAACACTTGACACATGTAAGGTTACAGATTTCGTATTTAAATGTTTAAAACAAATGACTGTCTTCTCGTCAGTGAAGAGAATGACTTCTCATCTAGACACGGTCAGAGCAACATCTAAGTTTTATAAAAAATAAAATATTGTAAATAATGTTATAGTGTACAAAGTGTATGCAATATAATTAAATTAATTTTTTTTTTCTACCTATGCTGATTGGTCTGCATGAGCCTTGAGAGGCTATTTTAGCCTCACCCTAACGTTTGTAGGTGAGCTCACGGGGCTCAAACCGAAGAGTTGCTAACACTGACCCTAGCAAAAGCAGTGCTTCGCAGAATCTACCGCCGGATCGGAAACGTGACCCACTGAGAAGATCCGGCAAGACGTTTTTTTAACAATAGAGCGGAGTGTTTTTAAATAGCCCCTCATCTACAGAACCCAATCCCCTCAAATTTAACCGTCCAACAAAATCTCATTAATTAAAATAGTTTTAAATGGACAGAGCCGTAAAATCATTAAACAATCTAAAAATGTATTAAGGAAGTAACTATTTATTTACTTACCTACCTATTTTTAAAACGAACCATTATTTAAACTTGAAGCAGGTAAAACAAAAAGACTCGGATAAACTCGGATTAGTAAATAAAAGTTAATTAGTAGTAGTTTTATTTTTCCATCTAGAAGGGCAAAGATATCAGCTACCGTACAGCTTAATCTTTTTTATATTTTTTATTTATGAAAAATGATGAAATGACATGAAGTTGATTAATATGAAACATGGCATGATATGAAATGAAATGAAAACGAAATGAAATGATATGAGATTAAATATAATCTCAGTAAAATGGTGGTCATTTACTGAGACTTTTTCAGTGGACTTTTCGGAGGATCTCGAGAAGTTACGTTCAGCGGCTTGTTTTAATTTTATCACATTTGTGCAATTTCACAGATACTAAACAGTTAATAAACCACCCTTATTACACATTAATACCTGAAGAAACACTAAATAGACAAAAGAACACAAATCACACAACTTCACTCCTCGCGCTCCCACATGCATAGGTATCTGTAACAAAAGCAGAGGAGAAATTCTACTGTCTTGTCCATTTAACAGTAACAGATGGTTAATATTAATAAATAGATCAATCTTAATTAATTATTATCAAAATATCCTTTTGTTTGGATTTTATAAAATCTCGGTATCATTAAATCGGCTTAAAATCATAAATATAAACTTTAACTTGTCCGAAAATTAAATTGTCTATAAGACAAATGGCGCAAGATTTGAATAGGTAGGTACTAGAATTAAACAGAATGCACTAAGAAAATATCACAAGCTCACAACATTTTACATTTTTTACAAATTACTTTGAATATTCACTATAATCATGTAGTTAATTTTGTAATCTTTTCGATATGAGGAATTTTAATAAAACCAAGGCTAAACTCAGTTTCTTATAAAGCTCGTCGCAAGGTTATCTAAGGGGAGGAGAATGCTTGTTTACTATCTATCTGGTTCTGATATCAATTCGCCAAGGCCAACATTATCATAGTTTTATTAGCATCAGATTTAAATGAAAATTTTTCGAGTCTTGAATAATAACGTGATAAGACCGTAGATGCTTAAAATCGTGTAAAGCACTTTTGTACCGATACATTTTTCGTTCTTCCAAAACTTTCAAGACTCGCAAATATGAGTAATGCTGTTTATTTTGTTGGCGTAGACGTGGGTTCAAGCAGCGTTCGTGCTGCACTTGTGGATAACAGAGGACATGTACATAAAACTTCGGTGCGAGAAATTTTAACTTGGAAACCCAAATATAACTTTTATGAACAATCTTCTGAAAATATTTGGAATCGTTCGCTAGAAGTAATTAAAGTGAGTACTCATAATGTATATCAGACGAATATAATTTCATATCTCTAAAGAAAGCAATTAACAAAAAGTTTATTACAAATTTTCATCTTGCACAAGTCTACAGTTTTTTTAATCTGCTTAGCTTTAAAGTAGCTATGGTATAGGCGATCTTGTTTTTGAATATTATGAAGTCTAAATTTCAGAATAGACTACACTTTTTTATAACTTACTGACAAACAATCCTATTCCAAAAAAGCCTTCAATAAATACAGAGAAAGAAAATAATACTCTGGAAATATTGAATAATAAATTAGAAATATTTTTCCTGTATTACTTTAGGACCAAAAAAGTAATTGTAATTATTAAAGTTATTTCTGTTTAGGATGTTGTTAGCGGTACAGATGCAGCTAATATTAAAGGCATAGGCTTTGATGCTACATGCTCATTGGTTGCCTTAGACAAAAACTTCAATGCTATTGCTGTGAGTGATTCAAATAACAATGATCAGAATGTGATAATGTGGATGGACCACCGAGCCTACAATGAAGCAAATGCAATAAATAAAACAAATCACACAGTCCTTAAGTATGTAGGTGGAAAAGTAAGTTTAGAAATGCAAATGCCCAAGTTGCTGTGGCTGAAAAACAATTTGTCGGAAAAGTGGTCACAATATGGACACTTTTTTGACCTTCCTGACTTTTTAACCTGGAAAGCTACAGGCTCCATGAGTCGGTCACTGTGTTCTTTAGTTTGTAAGTGGAATTATGAATGTTCAGCCAGAAACAAACAAGGATGGAATCTAGATTTTTTGCATGAGATTGGGTTAAATGACTTGGCTGATGACAATTATTTCAAGATTGGCAACAAAGTGTTGATGCCTGGAGAATATTGTGGGGGTCTAACTAATGATGTAGCCTGTATCGTTGGCTTAAAAACAGGTACTCCAGTGGCGACATCAATAATAGATGCACATGCAGGTGGTCTCGGTATGATTGGGGCCAGAGCACAAGGCATTGACAGTGATAAGTCATCACGCCTTTGTCTTATTTGTGGTTCGTCCACCTGCCACATGGCTGTGAATAAAGATGCTGTTTTAGTGGAAGGTGTATGGGGCCCATACTATAGTGCCATGGTTCCTAACATGTGGTTGAATGAAGCTGGCCAAAGTGCTTCAGGAATTTTATTAGATCACATTATAGAGAGCCATCCAGCTGGTAGTGCTTTATTAAAAACCAAATCATCTGGGGAGTGAGTATGAAGTACTTTCCATTTAATATTATTATTGTAACTTCTTCAATTATAACTTGCTATGCTATATAACACCTCCTGCTAAGCTTGAGGGAGTAATGTTTTTGTTTGTATTACTAAGATGGATGGACTTATCCACGGCCCACCCGGTGTTAAGTGGATACCAGAGACCATATACATTAACTCGTACAACGTAAATGCCGCCACCCACCTTGTGACATGAGTTCACAGTTTATAACTACAATGGCTCCCTCACTCTTCATATAGAATCGTATTACTACTTCACCGCTGAAATCGAGCGGGTGGTGGTACCTACCCATGCGGGCTTACAAAACATCCTAACACCAGTAATTACGCATATAATTTTTGCGTGTTTGAGTTTTACAACACGATGATATTCCTTCACGGTGAAAGTCATTCATGAACATTTGTGAAGTACGTATTTCATTAATATTGGTACATGCTTGCGGGATTCGAATAGTCGCGTCGCGTCGCTTGGTACGAATGCACCGCGCCTTTTATCCTTTAAGCTACGACGACGTCAAATTGTCAATATTTTTGAATGCAGTTCATATTTCTTGCGGCCTCTTGGTAAACCCCATTATTAAACATTATTACCGTTCATAATTAAATTGTAAATATACATTATTAAAATTCGAAGAAAAATTTAACGGAAATCCCCATATTTGCAGCAGCATTCAGATCTTCCACCAGTTTATTTTGCTTAGTGAGCAAAATAGAAGCTGTTTAAACATAACTGTCGCGCAAGCTACTACCAATATTGAAGGCTTACAAATCGTCAATCGCCTTATAGACAGAGTCCACTGAGTTTCTTGCCGAATCTTCTCAGTGGGTTGCGATTCCGATCCGGTGGTAAATTCTGCGAAACACTGCTCTTGCTAGGGCTGGCTGAGCCCGTGAGCTCACCTAGCCGTCTGTGCGAAGCTGTAATACCCCCTTAGCTACCAGGGAATAGGAAGGTGAAAAAAAGGTCAATCGTCCAACGACTGAGTACAAGTTAGAAAACTGAACATGAAGTTTGTAAGACATAACTTTTACTCTGAGGCGATGAGAAGTATGACCTACACCTGTGTGCTTAGTGCGAGTTTTATAACGTTCGCTATAGCGTAAACGTTAACCCAATTTTGTATACAGTTACAGCGCCCCTAGCGGCAAACGTAGGCGATTAATCCCATTCCCAAATATGAGATCTTTCACATTCTATTCTATCTATCTTTCTATCACAATGATATATTTTTGTAAAATAGTATTCTGTTGGTCTTACCTAACAATAGGCAATTGTATTCAAATTAAAAATATTTTTACACAATTCTAATTTTTTTTTTAATAATTCATTTGCAGAATACGTCGTCACCTAAGGGATATTCTATTGGAAATGGCAAAAAAAGAGGGTCTCAGTAGCATTGATTTCCTAACCAAGGAGGTTCACGTGTGGCCAGATTTTCATGGTAACCGATCGCCCCTTGCAGATCCTACTATGCGAGGCATGATGACTGGACTCACAATAAACTCCAATGAAGAAAATCTAGCCGTCTTATATCTTGCCACATTACAAGCTTTATCGGTAAGCTAGCAGCGTTTTAGCAGATGATAGTGTATGCCAGACGTCCACTCTAAGACAACACTGAACAATTCGAAATTCCTGATTAGCTATAACAATAATACATTAAAATTATTAATGCAATGTGACCAAATTAATTGAACTGACACAAATGCGTTTGAATAAAGATATTTTAAGCAATTAGAGGCTTGTCTGTGCGCCTTGCATAGGTAACATCAATGAGTGACGATTAATATTTACGCATGATGGCAACATTCTCGTGGTTATGTCTATGGGCTTCGAGTAACCACTCGATCATCCGTATAAGCAATATATTAATAATAACAAAAATAGAAGCTATTTATTGTTTAAATTTTGTAAATTACTGGTATTTTCTTATTATCTGTATGTGCGAAAGAACTTTAATTAAAAACAATTAACCACTTCCCAGTTTAGTCGTGATTGTCTCCACCCTAGTAGTTCTATGAAAATGTGATACCTACTCTATTAATATTGTTCATGATACGCTAGCACTAAAAGCCATCTGCTAGATTGCTGACAAAATAACACAACACACAATCTCAATGTAATTTCATTTTCCCAACTTCATTATCATTAAGACATCCCTGTGATATTTTTATCTAAGCACAACAACACAAATATTCAATTTGTATGCAAGTCTTTTTGTTCCAGTATGGTACGAGACACATCATCGACGCCTTGATACAAGCAGGCTATAAACCTTTTAAATCATTGTTAGTGTGTGGTGGCATTATAAAGGATCCGTTGTTCGTATCCACACAAGCTGATGCTGCAAGTCTGCCAATACTGCAGCCTCATGAAAAAGATTCGGTTCTGGTTGGTTCAGCAATATTAGGTGCCTGTGCTTCTCAATATTTCCCGAATATTCAAGATGCCATACACAATATGGGCGGTACAGCTGATGTGATTCAGCCTGATTCAAATACGAAATTATATCATGACAAAAAATACAGGATATTTCTGAAAATGTACCAAGACCAGTTGGAATACAGATCAATAATGAATTCTCAGTAAATATTGATTCAGTTAGATATCAGAATTTAACTACTTAAATTCAGATATAAACGGTGTTTATGTTTATTACACTGTAGTTATCCAATTAAAACAGATAGTATTGGCATTTGAATACATATTAAATGAATTTGATTGCTTTCATTGTGTGCATAGATATTGTGTTTTCAAACGCAGATGACTACCCGCCATTTTGGAACAGTATATGGCTCTAAAAAAGATATATGTGAAGAGTAAGTATGTACAAGATTTGAGTAAACATTACAGTATGGTATCTATAACTAATGGTGCTGTCTGACTGATAATAATAAAATGAAATAAACCTCGAACTTTATGATTACATTACGACTTTTATTGGGTTGGGTCGGGTCGTGAATCTTCGGATGACGCTGTGGATTAGATGTGTGAGACTTGAACCTACGTAAATAATCTATCGCATATCTATTCAAGCTTCCGATCCTCGTGGTGAGGGGGAACTGCTGTAGAGTGCTGGTCGCGCAAATTAATACCATCATTCCATGAGAAGGTGGAATAAATACATAAACCCGCCTGGTAATAAGTGGTATTTAATAGTATTTATTGTAAGAACTCACAACCAGCACAATGTGAATACCGCTGTTCACTTTCACTTGTAGGATCGAAATTATTTTAACTTAATTAATAATTTAGGAGCTGATGGGATAAAATATGTTAGAATAAAAATAAGGCTGTACCAACTATTTTCACTATGAACCTCTGACCTAAAAAAATATTTATTTACATCACTAATATAATATAATCGTTCCACGCTCAACAAACCTCACTAAAGGTAGGATTTTCTGCTGTATTTTGAATTGTGGAACGCTCGGACATACTATTATCAATTATCATACACCCAGACGCCTAATGCGTAATACTTTTTACAATGATACTACACCCACTGGATCAAACCCCAACCATATCGAACGGTAGTTAGGTTTATTGACTACAAAACGAATAGGACTGGTTTTATTATTATTAATTAATATTAATATTATAAAATATTAAATTTTAGGAGGGGGGAGGAAGATCTTTTTAGGAGGAGGCAGGCTTAGTGTATAGTTAATAGACTTATTTAGTATCAATTGAATGTAGTGTCAAAGTGTAATATTATATTGTATTTAATCTATCCTGAGAGACGGAGCCAGATAGTGGGGAGTAATTTTTTAATTTTGTCGTTTTGATGTTTCTTCTGATTTAAGTGTGTAGTAATGTTGTCTTTGGAACTCTCAATATTTTATTTCAATTTCATTCATTTTTCTTTTCGATTTATATACCTTAGATGCTTTTATAGTTTGGTTCATAAAAGATGGAAACTTAGAACTTAAACGACAAAATGTAAGTTTCAAATTTCGGTAATTTTTGTCTGTTCGTCCGTGGAGATGAAATAAACTTATTCTATGGTCATCATAGATTATACACTTAATATATGATGGTCATGTTTGATTGGCAACACTAATTTCTTTCCTTCTCATAGATATTGGGTGCATCTGTAATTTGAAGTTGTTACAGCATAACATAATAGTTTAGATACACTTGCTTTTAGAGCCATGACAGTATTGAACCAAGTTTTATGTAAAGGATAATAATAAACATGTAAAATCTAAGACCAGAAAAACAATATTCAAAATTGTCATTATTGACAAGCAGGTATTTGTACATCGCGACAAAATGAGATTAACCATTGCAATTACAGAATATGGATGTCAGTTGTAGCTCTTGAATTTAGTAACATTATACAGATCAATACCTTTAAATGTCCGTAATCATACACTTATGAAATCTGGCTGTATTTTTTACGGTTCATTTTCATGTCCTCTTAGGTTAAAATGTCTAAGCGAGGTGCCGATGAAGGTGGCAACGGCAGTAGCCAGCCACCGATCAAGAAGGTTCATTTCGAACCCCATCTTATAGGACCTGTTTCTACCTTGGAAGAAATGGACATTAAAGTTTTACAGTTTCAAAACAAAAAATTAGCTCAGGTATGTTTGAATATAACAAAATGTAAGAGTATCTTTGACTAACTGTACCCTGTTCTACTTTGTGATAATGTTTGGAAAAGTGAAACTACTCTAATTGTAATATTGAATTTATAATTATTATTATTGATTAGACACATCTGATTACATTGTATATGAACATATGATGAAATTCAAGTGAAGTTTTGTTTGTCTTTGATTATAGTTTTGTACCTGTTAGTTATGTTGTTTGTTTAACCCTAAAAATATTACAAAGTTGGCTAATTTAGAAACGAAATTGTCATGTATCTTATATTATACCATGGCCATCATTTACTATTGGCAATGTTTTCATTTTGCAGAGGATAGAACAACGACATAGATGTGAAGCAGAGCTCAGGGCTCGAATAGAGCAGCTTGAGAAACGTCAAACACAAGACGATGCTGTCCTCTGTGTAGTTAACCGTTACTGGAATCTCTTGAATGAAGACATCAGAGTTTTACTGCAGCGTTTTGATGCAGAAACAGCTGATGAATCAGAAAACAAAAGTAACTTTATTTTTAACAATTCATTTGTAAACCTTCTTTGTACATCAGGATTTTTTTTTCAATATTCAATTTTTTTTTGTTACTAACAATACCATAGGTCGATGGTCAGCAACTCGCGACTTGCAAGTCAGAGCTTTTTGTCTCCTTGATGGCTTTTCTGTGAAATGCTTAGTTTAGGCACAGAATTACTTATTATTTAGCCTTGTAAGGTACTAGTAAATATTTTTGAAACAAGACTATAAAAAGATACATTAAAAACTGAAAAACTGGCTCTGAATAAATTTCAATTATCTGTCATATTTGGCATATTTGGTTGACAAAGTTACTGACCATTGCCATTAATGAAATAATAATAATAATCATCATCAGCTGCATCAGTTTTAGCTTTAGCTTTGTTTAGTAATAAAAAAAAATCAAAATATTGCTTTAAAACAAGTACAAACTTATACATGATTATTATGATATTGGATATTAACTATAAATAATATATTTATTACTAGATGAGAATGAAGCCACAACATCATTTTTAATGCAGCTGTCAACATGGGACAAGGAAGAGTTAGATGCACAATTGGCTAACAGAGTGCAAGTTAGCAAAAGAGCCGTTGCTAAAGTATTACAAGCATTTGATCGCCTACAACAGAGAAATGATAAAATTTGGCGTGCAATCAAGGGTGATGGAGACGGTAATGTATATCTCTATATTAATAAGATTATAAAGAAGCAAATTATGTTTGTTTGTTTATGAATATATAATTTCTGGTACTACTGAACCAAATTTGAGTAATAACTTATTGTAATAAGATAGTAATCTTTTACTTTTATAGAAATAACTTTTCGGAATATAGTTGAAATGTGCAACATTGTTGCACCATAGGACACACTAATAACATAACTTCTAGTCTATCCTTTCCACTTGGAATGCATGTATGGTTTGGGTATAAATTTGCAGTAATTTGGTATCAATTTATGTATACTATTACACTCAACTATCAGGTGATGGGGAAGTAGTTACATTATTTAAGGGGGTCTACGACATACTTGCATCTCTAGGATAGCCAAATTGTGTGTATTTATGAATTCAAAGCAAATCATGTATGGTTAATACAGAATAAATAAGTTTATTATGTCCTTTTCTTAAAAAATGAATAATAATATGTTTAAATCATTAATGGATGGATGTTATTATTACCCATCAATTTTTAAGTTATTTGTGGGATAGTAGTCAATGTACCAATTTAATTGAAATCTTATGCCTCAGGGGTGGGTGGCAGTCCAATTCACGTTGTGCTGTCTAGTGGCTACAGTAATTGCTTAACACCAAGTGGGTTGGAAGCTCAAAGGCCATCTAGAAAAAAACATCAATGCATAATTTAGTAAGATGAAAATAATGGGTCGTCCGCATAGAAGGTGGGGCAGCCCCATCGTTGGATGCGACAGTTCGTGCAGCCAACGAGGAAGTGACGGCCGAAAATCGACGTCTGCAGGGACTTTGCACCGCGCTACACGAGGCGCACCACGCCATGACGTTGCGAGTCGCCGCATTACATGACTCCCTCAACAGCCGGGATACTGAGAATGCTGAGCTCAAAAATCAAATTGATGACTTGCAGTACGAATTGATGAAGGTACACTTTTTTTAGCTGATCACTTTGTACGTATATCTATAAAAACACTAGTAATAATTCAGTGTTTGATTTGTGTAAACAAATCAATTTATGGCTGTTGTGAAGGATCTGTAACACTGATCATAATTTTAAGTGCCTTATTCACATTTACATATGTAAGGCAAATGTTTTTGTGTTATATAAGACTGCTGTATGTTATAGCCACTGACATTTGAGAGGTGTAAAAAATAAATTGACACAACCGTTAAAGAGCACTGGCACTGTGTTTTTGTATTGAAACTGTCGACAAACAGTATATGGTCATTTGGTGCTAAGTTTTTACCAGAGCTTCAGAGCCGAGGCAATTGTATTGTGTATGCGATTGTCGTATTGATTTCTGCTAATTAATACAAGCGAACCGTGAGCTTTCTGCTGAATCACATTAGTAAAAAAAAAATTGGTTGTCTGTAAATTCGGTTTACTGACGATAGTTGAACGTGATAACGTCATAAGAAATACTGATGGAATGGTTTCATTTTTCAAAAGAAAATTTTAATTTTATTTGTTTGATAGATATGTTGTATGGACAATTGACACCACATTCACTTTTCACTGAACTTCATACTTGACGAAAACATGTAAATGTATTATTGTATAGCAGCTGTCCACGCGGATGCATCGCTCACTCAAGTAGGAGAGTGACAGATGTCGAACGCTGCCGAACGCGGAGGCCGATTGTGCCTCTTTGTCGCTCGTTACGCGCTCTCGCTTGCACTTCAAGCCCTACATGGAACGCCTCAATGAGTCATGTTTTTTCGTGCGTGCAGCCGGCTCCATCGAATTATAAGACGTTGTCACGTCAAAAGCTGTAAAACTGCCTCTTAATATCTAAAGGTTCGATCCCGCAACGACAAGCTCGAAAACCACTTGGCCGAGGCGATAGAGAAGCTGAAGAGTTACCATCAGTCGGGCGTGACCACGGCGGCCAGTGCTCCCGCGCACTCGGGCGCCGCCGCCGCCAAGCTTGAGGACGTCGCCGCCGAGCTCGAGGAGCAACGGGAGCTGGCCAACAATCGCCTCGCCGAACTCGACCGACTGCATCGCCAGCATCGGGACACGCTCAAGGAAGTCGAAAAACTTAAGATGGACGTATGTATTTCAAACGGCTACTGTATGGGGATGTAGTATTAGTATCATGTGTACTCAATGTCTTACCCACTTTTAAATTAGGTTTCTTACAAGTCGTCGTGGCCTAAAGAATAAGACGTCTGGTGCATTCGTATCGAGCGATGCACCGGTGTTCGAATCCCTGGCGAGTACCAATTTTTCTAATGAAATACGTACTCAACAAATGTTCTCGATTGACTTCCATGGTGAAGGAATAACATCGTGTAATAAAAATCAAACCCGCAAATTTTAACTTGCGTAATTACTGGTGGTAGGACGTCTTGTGAGTCCGCACGGGTAGGTACCACCACCCTGCCTATTTCTGCCGTGAAGTAGTAATCCGTTTCGGTTTGAAGGGTGAGGCAACCATTGTAACTGTAGTGAGACCTTAAAACATATTTCATGATGGGTGGTGTATTTACGTTGTAGATGTCTATGGGCTCCAATAACCACTTAGTACTAGGTGATTTGTGAGTTCGTCCACCCATCTAAGCATTAAAAAAAAATTATATAAATTTGAATTCTGTGAATAATATCATTCTAGATCCGACAACTGCCTGAGTCAGTTATAGTAGAGACTACAGAATACAAATGCCTGCAGAGTCAGTTCTCGGTCCTTTACAATGAGTCTATGCAGATGAAGACAGCTTTGGATGAAACACGACTCCAGTTGCAGAACGCTAAGAACTTGCACATGCGACAGATTGAAATGATGGAGGTTTGTAGCTTTCAATACGTTGTCTTGAATTGCTTTATCATTGTTCATGATAAGGTAATAGTATGTCTATTATTATTTTTGATTAGTTTACTACAATTTTTATGGTTTGACTGCTAAATGGTGTGGATTGCAAATGATTATTTCAATCTTCCATCTATATGTGCTGGTGTTTCCCAATGTGAGGCCCAGGCCCCAAAAAGAGGAAATTTAATAACTAAGGGGGCAATCGGACTAAATTAAAATCAATAAATTAAATATAGGAATTAAAATTAAATATAGAAAATCTGTATTAAAATTATTTTTAATTTGAATTTCAGTTTTTTAATATATGTTTTGAAATATTACTTACTGTGTTTTGATAACAATTTCATAGTGATTTCTTCCTAAAACTTATAATTTATGTTTCTTAAGTGAACAAATCAAGTTTTTAATGTTAAAAATTATGTATATAGGGAGCATAAAAAATTTTGAAATGTTACAGTGGGGCATGGCACAAAAAAGGCTAGGAAACACTGATATGTGCCATATTACTTAAATGCTATTAGTACTTTAAAGATGTAATTGTGAAGTAGAAGATTGGTATAATGAAATGGCGAATAAATTAAAATAATAAGAATACAGCACGCACTTCACTTATTAAGATATTGTAATAAATATAATGTGAAGATATTGTATACAACCTGTATTGTATTTAGGTTTTTTATATTGTTTAGAGCTCTCAGCCTACATATCTAATGTTAAGGTGTTATCGGAAACCATAGACATCAACAACTCAAATCCCACCACTCACCTCGAGACATGAGCTGTAAGGTCTCAGTTTTAACAGTACAATGGCTGTCCCACCCTTCAACCCAAAACGCATTACTGCTTCACCGCAGAAAATAGGACGGGTGGTGGTACCTACCTGTGCGGACTCACAAGATGTCCTACCACCAGCAAAGTGATGAATATAGCAATAAAACCCAACTCGTTATGTTTTAGAGTGAAGAATTATCGCGTCAAAAAGCGCTCCGAGCAGAAATGATTCAGTTGGAGGATGTATTGGGGCAGTTGCGAAAAGAGTATGAGATGCTGCGCATAGAATTCGAGCAGAACTTAGCCGCCAACGAACAAACGGGACCCATCAACAGGGAGATGCGACATCTCATTACTTCCCTGCAGAATCACAACCAACAACTGAAAGGCGAGGTACATCGTTACAAGAGGAAATATAAGGACACCAGCCAAGAACTAAATAAGGTGATCAAATTAAGGATTTTCATCATAAATATCTTGTAATATAAATAAACTTTTCAATTAGTGACTCGGTGCCTCTGACTACTGAGGGTCGCCGGTTCGATCCCAATATCGCAGCGGTCGGGGAACCGGGGTAAATTACCCTAAATGGGGTAAAATGAAATTTTGGGGGGTAAAAATGAAACTTTTGTGAGTAAAATGTATATATTGAAGTGAAACTTCTTTAGAATTGTGATTTCAAACTAGATTAAACGAAATGAAATGAAACAAAAAAAATTTTTTTTTTTTTTTCAAAATCCTCGTGTTGTCTATAATGTAAAAGATGCTAAAAAGAAGCGATTTCGTTTTTTATTGTTCTTTGCCATGGGGTAATATCAATTTACACAAAAATATTATGGGGTAATAATTAAAAAAGTTCTCCGTCCGCTGTAATATCGAGTTAACATTCGTGAGACGAACATGTTTATTTGCTCTTTGTCTGGGTGCTTAATGTCTATTTATGTTTATATCTAAATGTCCATGAACTGTGTTAGCTACCATCAGGTAGATTTTTGATATCGTCTGATGTAATATGCTCCACCTAATGTTCCAGGCTCGCAAAGAGGTGGAGGAGGCCAACACTCGTGGCGGAGAGCGCGGCGACGAGAAGCCCCTCACTGTCAAGAAGGAAGAACCCGACCCCGAGGTAACTCTGCTCCGGTGCTAGACGACAGCGCGGTCATTGGAGTCTGTCAAATCAAATCAAATTTTTTTTATTCAACATAAATGAAAGTATATACATACTTGTTAAACGTCAAAAAAAACTACCGCCAATTCACAAAAACTAGCCTCCGTCCTGAGAAGAACTGGCAAGAAACACAGCGGGCATGCCTTTTTTTTTTAATATTAGATTTTTTTTTTAAATGTACCGTACACGTCACAGCTTGACTCAACAATTTTAAATTCTCACACAACATCATTGGGTGTACGTCGTTTGGGACGAAAAAAAGCGCTGAGTTAATTGTGGCTGTCGCAGCTAGCAACGATTGCTTGTCGCTCAATTCCTTCGTCGATTAATTGTTGTGTGACGTCAATGCAGGGCGATGACGTCACTTGCGGCAACAGCGCGGGCGAGACGAAGTTGCCTCTCTCCAAAGATCACGGCCGCGCCAAGATGCAGGAGCAGGAACAAATAATCAAGGATCTCAAACAACAATTGAAGTAAGTGGGCGGTAGCTACTAGGGAGTGAGCAATTATTATGAATTTATGTAAGTTTACAGAATTTCAATTTCAGTTTTGTGTGTGTGTTATTTTATAAAATTTTTATGTAAACATTTCGATAGGATTTTTAAATATTATTGAGTTCATTTTCACGGCACCGCTTGCCTCGCCTGCTGTCGTTATGTGCAATAAATACAGTTCTCGTGTATTCATAGTGAGATTAAAATTTTAAAACTATACTAGACCCACAGAAATGAAAAGTACCTAGTACAAATGTGTTTGTCGTGTGACTCTGCCTTCACCAGACGTATGTACCATGCTGGTATCAGTGCTTTATTAGTTTCTGTCGTGAAATCCAGCTTTGTTTGTCACCAAAATGTTACCCATTTTATCATATTCAAGTACCAGACACAATAAATTTTTTATTATTGCTTAGATGTGTGGACGAGCTCACAGCCCACCCGGTGTTAAGTGGTTACTAGAGCCCATAGACATCCACAACGTAACCGCCACCCACCTTGAGATATAAGTTCTAAGGTCTCAAGTATAGTTACGAGGGCTGCCCCACCCTTCAAACCGAAACGCATTACTGCTTCACGGCAGAAATAGGCAGGGTGGTGGTACCTAACCGCGCGGACTCACAAGAGGTCCTATCACCAGTAATTACGCAAATTATAATATATTATTATAAAGCTTTTTTTTTATATATGCGTACCATATTTACAGAAAAGCAGTGAATGAGCAGAAAGAGTTGAAGTTACTCTTGGACATGTACAAAGGAGTCAGCAAGGAGCAGCGGGACAAGGTTCAACTGATGGCGGCCGAGCGGAAGGCTCGACAGGAACTCGAGGATCACCGGCAAAAAGCCAAGATGGCACAGGTCTGTTTCAAATGGTCATTGATACTTCTATCAAGCTCATCAAAATTACACAAAATATCAATATGACAATGTGTGTTTGTGTAGGAGAGTAAACGAGAGCGTCGCATGGCGGACGAGGATGCGCTGCGTAAGATCAAGCAGCTTGAGGAGCAGAAATACGAACTGCAGAAGCAGTTATCCTGTGCGAGGCCCAATGCTGACGCCCTGCATGGCTTCTCCAGGCCCTTCGCTGGATCACCTGTCAGTATAACATATTCTTCTTTTTATTAAAGCCAATGACGCTACAACCCAAATGCAGCCACCAGCCTCAAGGCTCAAAGTGACGGGCCCATCCAGCATAGGTGCAGAGTTGCTTAAAGGTTGAAATAATCATGTAGCAACTCTTATCATTTTGCGCATTGATTCGTTCCATAGTCTTTGCCAGTTTGCTCACTTCTTTCTGATGTGAATACTGGGCCCAATACTTGTCTTGTGTTAAGTCACTTGCCTTCCATCACATAGGCTGAGTCGTTCTTAGTAACTGTTAAATACTAAGATAATGTGAGAGTGAATTGAGAACTTGTGATATACTTTTATAGGAAGAAGAAGCATTACTGAACGAAATGGAAGTGACGGGTCAGGCCTTCGAAGACATGCAGGAACAGAACTCGCGTCTCATCCAGCAGCTGCGGGAGAAAGACGACGCGAATTTCAAGCTCATGTCGGAGAGGATAAAGGCGAATTCATTACATAAATTGCTGAGAGAAGAGAAACAACTACTACAAGAACAGGTATGGGGTTTGTTATAAACTGTCAATTTCAGCCTTATGTAAATTTGATTCAATATTCTGACGAATATTCTTACTGTTACAATCTTAGTTTCACAATCAACTTTTTAGTACTGGCATCGATTTGTTATGTTAATTTGAACTATAGAAATACATTTCAATTGATTTTACAAATAAAACAAAGTTTGCACGGGGCTCGTACATACCTGATCTACTCATTGTGATCTCAACGATTGGCTACTCATTCAAGGTCTCGTAGTTATTAGCAATTTAAATCTGACGATATTATGTCACGAGTTCGATCGGCTAACAACGCGACGCTTGTTGGTTTCTAAATAATTCGGACATTTTGTTCTTCTACATTGCAGGTCATAACTCGCGACCAGCAGATAGAGTCAATGGGCGCGGTGGCGCGGCGACTCGAGGAGAAGGAGCGGCTACTGCAGGCCACGCTCTCCGCCGTCGAGAAGGAACTGTTGCTCCGGCAGCAAGCCATGGAGATGCACAAGCGGAAGGCCATCGAGTCTGCGCAGTCTGCGGCCGACCTCAAACTACATCTCGGTACACTGCACCTCAAATTTACATTTGCCATTTTTTATTTATTTAAATAAAATAAAATAAAATCTTTTTTGACGTGGCCCATATGATTGTAGCGTGTATCACGATTTGAGTGTCGAAAATATAAGAATTTTGTTGTCACAAGTTTTTGTGTCTCACAAAGTGGCACAAGACGACGTAACGTAATCTCCACATTAACTCAGAGATTTATTTCACTCTTTGGCATTCCATACAATATATCTTCATCGTTTTAATCTTAAAACTACAGTCAAAACCGTTTACTGCGACATCGTTTAATACAACATGCCGGTTATAATAACCAAGAACAAAGGTCCCGGCTGAATGCCATATGAATGCCTTATTAAAAATATTGCTTTCTACGACATTGGTAATAACGACATACCTCATAAAACGACCACATTTAACTAATATTTCGGAGAATTAGATCTGTTAGAACGACCGGCTAAGCTGTATTGTAAACAATTTGAATAGGTATCCACATTTGTCTTCAATAGCTTTTAAAATCAGGAAAGAAAACAATAGGATTTAGTTTAGTGTAGGGTTTTTTCTAATTCTTAGAAACAAAACACGTGCATGCGGTAGTCAAAGCCCACTTCTTCATATTTCTTCAGTTAGTTTGTTACTTATCTATACACAAGACGCACCAAAACTTTGTGGAGTTATTCGTGAAACTTTCAAAATCTCGCAAAGATAAAGAAAACAAATTAATATTGAAGAATAATCGCGTATTATGTAAATATATTTTTCCAATAATTCCCTATCGATTTGTTTGTACTTGCACGATACACATTAAGCATCACCGGTTGTTACGACTATCGGTTTTTACGACTGAATATGAGCAGTCCCTTCGATGTCGTTATAACAGATTTTGACTGTAGTTGCAAAGCAAATCAGAGTGAACACTGTTATAGTGTATTTACTAAGCAGGAACGTTCCACTGGCAAACAATTGGACTTTATTGAAAATCGTAGCGACAGCTTACTGCGTCAGTAGCAGTGACGGCTTGTTATTAGTTTAAAATACTAGTTTGTAATACTAGTTTAAAAATTTATAATTATATGTTAATTAAATTTGTCCACGATCGTATTTTTTTTAAATTTTCGTCTAATATGTGTAATCTGTAATCGTGAACAGAGAAGTACCACGCTCAAATGAAGGAAGCGCAGCAGGTCGTGGCCGAGAAGACGAGCGCTCTTGAAGCCGAAGCGTACAAGACCAAAAGACTACACGTATGTAACATTGTAATCCTACATTACATCAGTCATCAACCTGGTCTCATCCCGCACCAATCTAGTGAGAAATTATTAATATAGTTCCTTCGGATTTAAATGCGCAATAATGGTGACTAGTTCATTGTTTAGTATTGGTGGCAGTGCACGAGTGACCGATGATGAAGCTATGTCCCTAGATGAGGCTCCTCGTATTGTTCAGTAATCTGCTGATGTCTCATTAAATTCCCATCATTTTCCTCAGATATTATTTTATTTCATGTCATCTTTGTGATTGATTCCTCATTCATTTCACTCTATTTCATACATATATATTTTTTACTTTATAAACATTTGATCACATTAATATTTCGTTTTGTGAAGGAGGAACTTGCAATATTACGGCGAAAAGCGGAGAGGATGAAGAAAATGGAACAAGCCGGCAGCAGCATGGACGAGGTCTTACTCGAGGAGATCCGCGAGTACAAGGAGACGCTCACCTGCCCCTCCTGCAAGGTAACACTCGCCACCCGCCGCTCTGCCATTACTATTACGTTCATTATTACTGAAGGAAAGACCTTATTGTATTTGCCCCACTAATCGTTTTCATATTATTGTTATGATTTAAATTATTGCACGGTCCTTTTAAAGATATCTTTGATACATTGTTTATCTAATAATTATAATTAAAAAAAAATTTAGTTGTCTTTAAATAGGATTATATTATTTATTTTCATTTACTTTTCTAACATTATGGGGTTATCCGGGTTCGCGGATGTCGTCACCCAATTATACTCGTAGATACGACACCAGCCTATTGCTTTGTAATACCGGGGATTAGTTCCAACGAAGTCTCATAACTGCGGCCGAGCGAGGCAACACATCGCGTATGTCGGCCGCGAGTCTAACGTCACCGCTTCCTGTGTCAGGTGAAACGCAAAGACGCGGTGCTAACGAAGTGTTTCCACGTGTTCTGCTGGGACTGCCTCCGCACTCGCTACGAGACCCGCCAGCGCAAGTGCCCCAAGTGCAACGCGGCCTTCGGAGCCAACGACTACCATCGCCTCTACCTCTCCACCTAGACGGTACGCACCACACTGTTACGTCTACTTGTACGCGGTCCCGTCTGGACACGTGTCCTCCCCGCGGGCTCGACCAGCCGGAGGGCCTCAGCCGACTTGGACTGTCGGAGGATGACTGCGAGACCAGTTGAAGGGACGCAGACTATTTGTTAAATCACACCAGAAACTTGATTAAAACCGTTCAATTTGTTAATTATTAAATAGTAAAAATTGAACAACATTCTGAAAAGTTAAGGGCGATTTACATCGCTCCAGTGATTGGTGATAGTCGATATTGAACAATTTCACTGGATCCTTGTGTACACATGTCACATGAGTAAGAATTTCATTTTGAAATTAATATAATAGCATAATATAAATAATAATAAAAGATCAGTGTCGCGATGCCACAAACAGTTAAAAGGATGTATTATGCGACGCGCAATGGACAGCGTCCGTCGGAGCCTTCGCAATGCTGTCGTCTGTCACTGGATCGATGTAAATTTGCATTACGGACTGATGCGCTAACAGCCGCGACACGAGTGTACAGAGACTGGCTTATTGTTAGTGTTTAATACATAGTTTATTTGTGTAAATATGACTCCAATATCTTGACAGGATAAAAATCGATTCAGTACTTACCTATGTTTAATTGTATAATTTATTTGTAAAAGCTTCGCCTTCTGTACTTTTAAGCGTGTTTGTTTATTATTGAATAAAGATCGAGCGCGTGTGGTCGACGACCCGTTCAACTCTAACTGTACTAGAAGATCGATAACTGTTGACAGCCGTCGCGACACTTAGTTTCTGAGAGTTTAATGTTGATTAATTGTTCGACATCAGTACGCTTAGTGTGAGTTTTTTAACGTTCTCGATAGCGTAAAAGTTAGCTCAAAGTTTGCAGTTGGAACAGCGCCCCTAGCGGCAAACCCAGGCAAACGTTCCGACTGCATACAAATTTGAGTTCACTTTTACGTTATCGAGAACGTTAAATAACTCGCACTAAGCACACTGATATTCCATTAGTTCTATTGTCCGTGATGATTGTAATTATTTGGTAAGGTAGGTCGTCGGCGTTTTGCGTGAATGTTGAATGAGACAGCCACGCCGGTCGCGGCGGCGCGAAGCGGCGACTTCGCCCCCGGGCGCGCGCAGTGTACATATTGGTTTAACTTCGATCTCGCACCATTCACCTCATTTATGTGATCCCATTTTCCGACGAATCGTATCGTTTAAAACGAGATTTTAAATATGATATCCGTTTGATGCAATAAAATAGTAATCGTAAACCTGTCATATTGTTGTCCTCGTATGTACACGAAAGTGGAGTTGTTTAAAGTTTTGGTATTTTAAAACATTTCCATCACATCTTAGCTGTTGACGGGTATGCTTCAAAGTCGATTGTATTGATTAATATAATCAGACTTGCATGATTTAATCCGAAAACATTGATGTTAATGAATAGTTAAAATATCTTTGAATAAAAATACACTGATTCGAAAAAGTTATGAGTTTACATGAACGATGACGTATTTTCATATCTTGTCATAGAAAAACAATGTTGTAATGTAGCAGTCGATATTGTCCTTACCGTGATAGTTAAGTAACTCTTTGACTGACATTATTTATATATTTAGGTTTTATTTCTCACCGGCCTTGCATTTTTAGCAAAAGATCTAGGAGATCAACATTAAATTGGCAATGTAAGAAGTATCTAATTATGAAATGTCTAAACTGCAGGTGAATGATTATGAAGTGTTTTTTTTTTCGTCTAAATAGTTTATTATTTAGAATACAAGAAATAGAGAACTTATTTTATTCACTCGTTATAAAATATGTATCATAAATCATAATACACATTTGTTTCATAGTCAGCCTGGAAGTAAAATTATTTAAGATAATGTGCTGTAAAAATCAAGGGAACAATTTATTTGACAGTATTTAGTTTATTATTTATAAACGCGATTGTTTCTACTCGTGTACTTGTTAAGTTTAAGTCGATAACAACAACTGTGAGCGCACGCGAGCGTGTCTCCTCTACAGCTGTAATAATTATTTTTAAGTAGGTAAATTTTTTGTAACGACATGCTTTTTATATTATGTATTATTGTTTTTAAATCTTACTTCGAAAAGGAATAGTTTATGTGTATCTTGTAAAGGATAGTTCTAGAATATAGTTAATGAGACTTGAATTTTCTATAATACGTCAAAGCATTAAAAACGTTTTTTTTTCTTTCCAAAAATTACTTTTCGAGAAAATAAAATAATTGAGAGCAATAACCACGTAAATTTTAATTTTTTCGTTGATCCATACGTTTGATCTACCCTGAATTTGTCATTAGCTTTTACTTAAAGTTGTAAATTGTGAAACAAAGTTTGAACTTAAATTGTAAATGTGTTGAATTATGTGAATTAAACGTCTCAAATATAAATTACTCGTTTTTGTGTTTTCCTTAATATTTGGAGACTAAAATGCATCAATATTTACGGCATTAATGTGTACAAAACAAAATGGTCCAGTCTCCTGGCCTGGCTGAGCCTTCCGGCCTCCCAGCAACCTTCGTGCAACTCTGGGCCATCAGCAATCCCTTCAAGCTTTTTTTTTGCTTAGATAGGTGGACGAGCTCACAGCCCTCCTGGTGTTAAATGGTTACTGGAGCCCATAGACATCTACAACGTAAATACGCCACTCATCTTGAGATATGATTTAAGGTCTCAGTATAGTTACAACGGCTGCCCCACCCTTCAAATCGAAACGCATTACTGCTTCACGGCAGAAATAGGCAGGGCGGTGGTACTTACCCGTGCGGACCCACAAGGAGTCCTACTACTAGTAATTACGCAAATTATGATTTTGCGGGTTTGATTTGTATAACACGATGTTATTATGTTATATTCCTTCACCGTGGAAGTCAATCGTGAACATTTGTTAAGTACGTGTTTAATTAGAAAAATTGGTACCCGCCTGCGGCACTTGAACTCCATTGCATCGCTACATACGAATGCACCGGACGTTTTAGCCTTTAGGCCACGATGACTTCAAACAGCTTCTAGTCGAACTTCGGCCATAAGTAGCTAAAGCAAACTGGTTTTATTAATAATAAAGGTTGAATAGTGAATAACAACTGTCACGATTCTCATTATAATATGTATTTACATACTACTTTTTACATCTTAGTAGTTAAGCATGTGCGAGTCGCATATACTCAAGCTTGCCAAATCAATGGTTTATGTACTTATTTAATTTTAAATAAATTGCTGACGATACAAATGACATCGGAAAAAATTTGTACTACACAGAAACCAATTATTATTATAATTTAACTAATTTTTTCGTAATTTCTCACAAAACCTTATCGACAAATACAGCATCAGTCTCATGTTAATTTTAATTCGTATTACGTTGAACACAACATAAATACGTAAAATGGCAAATAACTTTTGTTCTGTGTCTAATCGAAAACGATAAAAACAAAATGTGAACATTGATGTCCTCAATAAAGTGCTAAATATCAAATTTTAATTTGACTAGATTAAATAAAAAAAAGTGAAATGCACAACACAACTCTACAAGCCATCCTGGCCCGAGGTCACTGAACACAGTAGTGTCAGTGTGGTCACAATTGACCTGGATCCTTACTGTATCTACGTATACAAGATCTCACGTTTCAATCTCCCTCGGCTTGCACCAAATATAGATAGATATGTAATGAAAACATAATTCTTATGTGATTTTTTTCTTCGAGCGAATGTGCAGCGGCCTTTACAAAATTCATTGTTTATTATTATTTCTATACATTACGTCTTGTCTAAACAAATAAAAAGAGAGAATAAAAACAAAAGGATTTAGACTATCAAGTTATCGTAAATAAAGTCTATAATCTTAAACTAAATAAGTAGGAAACATAGATCACACAAAAAGTACAAAAATGAAACAATTAAGTAGATGGGATCGAATTTAAGCATTACAGCTGTTAAATACATGTGTAAGATTTTTTTTGCGGTAACAAAACAGTTTTGTTCTTGCTCTATGTAAACTTTGAATAAATACTATTTAAAATAATTCTTATCGATTAACACAAATGAAATGTCATATTCTTATTTACATATTATACTATAATGCTTTGATTTCTGATTAAATATTCTTATAAAAATTATCTTACAGCATTTAGGAGACCGATCTGACACAAATGCTATATATATTTATATTATATATGGTTTTTTTAATAGGCATCATGATTTACTTACGAGTAATATTGTAAATACGTTCGTTCTCGAAAGCTGAGCTTGCATGATACTACGTCTTTGTTTTTCTACGTGTTATGGAGTAAGCAGGACGGACGTGAATAACGAAACGGCACGAAATGTTATGAAGCTCACGATATTATATCTATAGTCTATTCATTAAATATTACATTACACTATTTCTATTTCTGCGCTAAAAAAACGATTACGACGCAGATCAGACATTACTCTAATAATTTATTTAATATAATTTTAGGAATCATGACGCATAAGACGTTTATTGACTTTTTTTCAGCCATCGAAATTTTCATCTCGCTGCATTTCAGGACGTATTACCTCCTGTTCTCGGCCGGCGAAACCGTAATCGACATTTAACATATTTATAATTAAATATGCAATTTCGAAAAGGGTACATCTCTGAAATGTAAAATGTTCAGGAAATGAAAAAAACTGATTATTTTCTAAAGCAGTGTAAAATTTAAAATATTAACTTTTGAGATATATTGCAGTGTTAATTAGCAATTCAAAATTACTGGAATTATTATAAAATGGGTGTAGGTAAGCCTCAAAACTACATGTATATGAAAAACGTATTTGACAAAATATGCGACATGTGCCCTTTTCGAAATTGCATTTTCAATTAATTAATAATTAAAGTATTGCCACTTAAAATTCGAAATTCCATTGAGGAACTAACGCTTTTATCCAGTTAGGATTTTTGTTTTTATTGAAAAGAATTTCATTTAGTATCGTTATCGCTTTGGCATTGGAAGTGATGTATGGGGCGGCCGCTAGAGGGCGGAGGGCGCGGCCAGGGCGGCGGCGAGGCGCTGCAGTCGCGCGGACAGCGGCGCGAGGCGGGCGCAGCGCGAGGCGCGCAGGGCGGCCGCGGCGCCGCACAGCGCGCCCGCACACTCCGCCCGCGAGACGTCGCCGTACGACCACGCCTCCTGAAGCGACGAACAATATGAGTGGTCAAGTATCTGAAGGTATGTAAATATAAAGTAAAGTATAAAGCGCCCCGTAAACGATCAAAGGAGACGGAAAATCGTGGGCCAAAAATGTAATAACTTGGAATGTAGTCTAAAAAATTTGTCATATTTTTTTATATAAGAATATAAAAAATCACCTCAATCCTCTTTCTGGGACCGGAGAAAAATGAGAAAGTTAGTTTTTGTCGGTATAACGGTGTGATCGATTTAATTAATCGATTACAGGATTATAAAAAGAAAAACATTGCACTAGGTAATTAATGCAAAGTAATTAAATGAGCGATTTATACTTGTTGTATACAAGTGCGGTATACGCCGGATTTAATTGCGATTATATACATAAATGAAGAAAATGTCTATTATTACTTAACAAAGGATCGATCGATTTCAAATCGATTAAAATCGATTGTATTTTTGATGACAGCTTTGACAGTAAGCTGACATGACGTTTGTTCATAGATTATACAATTATTTTTTGGCGCTTGTTGGTTTTTTCTGCTCTACTCGTTTTGTATCTTCGACGAATTTTGAGTGTGTATCTATCGGGCTGTTTTTATATTTTCAACGATCACTGCTTTACTGTTACGGATTCCAACTCTGCCAGCCTTATACGACACTTGCTTCTACACTGGACACCGAAGATCGCTCACACATTTGACTAGAAATTGTTGCATTGGATACTGTTGAAATTATGGATCGCTGTGTGAATTGTGGGATAGCAATTCCATATTCCATACCTGATATATATCATTGATATTCATTCATAATATGACATGAAAGATTATCCAATGGATATAATAAACATTTACTTATGCTTAAATAAGTTATTATTCAGCTCTTTTAAAGAGATTGTAACATAACCTAACTTTTACTAAATCTTTATTAACTCGGCTCTCAGATTGAGAAACTTTTATAATTTTCAGTAAATCTGAATCTATTAATTCATATTAGTTTCATCACGTTACATTCGGGCCCAAAAATGTATGTAATCGTTTCAGTCTCCTTTGTTTGTCAAACTTTACGTTTTCATCAGACAATAGCTTAAATGATCAAACAAGTTTGTTAAATTGTCCGTAAAATCAATTTCTCTTTGCCGCAACGAGACGCCGTGTCGAGCAACGACTGAGATCTTGTTTGACAAACATCCCCATTCAGGTTCAAACTTGTTTGTCAAACACGCTGTCAATCAAGATTTCCATCAAACACGTACGACTGTTTGACAAACGCGTCAAACAAAGCTGCATGCAGTGAGAATTGATCAGTACAATTATTTTTATATCTTTAGATTTATGGTAGCTGTAGCAACAACCACTAAAATGTTTGTGAAAATAGCATCGTGATTAGTTTTAAAATGATGGTAGTATTCATATTTTAATGACAGACTATAGAAAGAGTGAATAGTGGGAAGGGCTCGTCACGACATGAACCATCATGTGAATTCTTTACAAACTATGGAGGATAGAAGTAAGGAGCACCATCCCAGTGCACTAAAAATTGATCGTTGAAAGAGCGGCAAATAAGGTGGCGCCACAGTAGCAAGTGGAAGGAAACAGCGCCAAAAACTACCACACTTCACCTCAATTCAGTACACTTCCCTCTGTTTAAAACTGCTCTATTCATATCATTTCTACTTTCTACACTAGCGCTATTTCGATGAGTTTGCAACAATAACTTGCTCTTTACAGGTAAACACTTTTTCAACTTGAGCCCCGCCCCCATACAAGATGGTGCTCCTTACCTCTATCCTCCATATTACAAATATAGTTTCAACTAACCTCTTCGATTAGATCCAAATCGTCCTCTTCATCGTGATGTGCCAGTTGATTTTTGAGCGTCTGTTGAACATTCACAATTATTTTAATTATAAAAACATTTTAAATAGATGAAAATTTGTTACAATTTTACAAAACTTAAACGTAGAAGTTCAACTGCGGTGTATATAATATTGAGGCGTATTTGTACTTTGAAAATAAAAGAATATAATATACAGGTACAGGATTTACATGTGTATTTACATGTTGTGCTGAAGCAACACTTCCCAAGCGAACTATAATTATGTCCTCTCCTTTTTGAGGCAATAATTTCGTTATTTCTCTCAAATTTTTTTCCAAAAACAGTGGTATTGTGTGTGTAGGGAGAGAACATTTGTGTGTGCATACAAAGCTGTATATATGATACGAACGCTATCGATATTAACCTTGGCGTTTTATTCTTGACTCGAGATCGCCAAGCAGGCCCTGAATGGTGTAAATACCTGTTTCATATTAAACGAGTTAAACCGAACTAACTAAATTGTAAATAAATAAATACTAAGTAAGAAAAATAAACTACCAAACGTATAAATAAAAACAAAAGGATATCGGATATTGAAAAGAGTGGCGGTATAAAAAAATAATTTTCGGCTAATCGATTTTAATATCGATAGTAATAGATAAGTTGTGATAAAATGCTACTTTAAACAAACAAAAAAAAAAACAAATACCAATAACTAATTAGTAAGTACATTCACAAATTCAATTCATAATGTTTCAAGATTTTTTTTAGAATAAATGAGGAATAAGCTCACAATTCTAGTGAAGCACACATGATACATGAGCTAGCCTCGCTTAGGATTACTTCGCGACAGAAATAGACAAGACGGATCCATCACACGGCCCCACAATATAACTCAACATATTGCGTTATTATAGATAGGAAAACGAAGTTCGGGTTGTAATTCTATAGACGGATGATGAGAGAGTGCTGGTACTAAGTTTGGGGTCACATATCCGGTCCGTATTGGAATGATTACCTATTATCTGTGTTGTAACTGAACTGAACCCATGACTGACCTCGACCGACTGTCGGTACTGCTCCATCATATTCTTACTTGCGTCGAGTTCAGCCAGCTTCTTCACTACCACGTCCGCCACGTTTTTTTCTGTTACGTCTATTTTTTCTCTGAAAGCAAAAAAGTACTAACTTAAAAAAACGATTATAAAAAACGTGTGGGTGAGTGCGTGCACTGTGCGTGTGTATGTGTCTGATCTGATTGTAGATGTGTACAAACTTTAACTGAATTCTATTGTAATGCAGTAGACTTTTTGGCGGGAACGCGAGGAGTGAAGTTGTGTGATTTGTTTTATTTTGTCTATTTAGTGTTTCTTCAGGTTTATGTATAATATGTGTAATAGCGGTGGTTTATTAATTGTTTAGTATCTATGAATGTGTACAAATGGAGGCACAAAGCCGCTGAACGTAGCTTCTCGGGATCCTCCAAAAAGTCCACTGAAAAAAGTCTCAGAAAATGACCGCCATTTTACTGAGATTATATTTCATTTTATTTCACTTCGTATTATCATTTTTCATAAAAATAAGAACATTAATTAAAATAAGACTTGACCTAAAGGTCTTAGTTACCAGGTTATAAAATCGCTTCAAAAAATGTAATGCACTAGAAGCTACCCAGCTTTATGTCATCGGAATGAGTGATTGTTTTGATGAACTGCTTGTGTTGCTGATATACAGTGAGTGTTGTCACTACGGACCAAGTTACAGGGTGTGTATTTGGGAGAGTATGACAAAGGTGCCGAGTGGGTGACATTTCTCGATAGACCGACGGGTCGAATGTCGTTATTTGGAACTTGTATCTATACGAGCTTATCTCGAAAATGTCGTTAGCGAGATTTGTGCTTCTGCCAAATATCTGTTCTATTATGTGACGTGAGTTTTTGGCGGGAACGCGAGGATTGAAGTTGTGTGATTTGTTTTATTTTGTCTATTTAGTGGTTCTTCAGGTTTATATGTGTAATAACGGTGGTTTATTAACTGTTTAATATCTGTGAAACTGCACAAAAGTGGGAAAATTAAACAAAGCCGCTGGAAGTAGCTTCTCGGGATCCTCCAAAAAGTCCACTGAAAAAGTCTCAGTAAATGACCACCATTTTACTGAGATTATATTTCATCTCATATAATCTCATCTCATTGCATTTAATTTTATCTCAGTTGATTAATGTCTCAAATTAATCATCTTCATTTCATTTCACTCCATATTATCATTTTTCATAAAAATAAGAATATAAATTAAAATAAGACATGACCTAAAGGTCTTAGTTACCAGGTCATAGAATCCCTTAAAAAAATGTTCTATGATGTCCCGCTACAGACAGTTGCACGTTCCCTGGGTGTATGGTTACCTGAGCGCGCTGAGCAGGGTGGCGTCGTGCTGCTTGTCGTGGTGCGCGGCAGCCAAGCGTAGCGCGCCCAGCAGGCGGGACAGCGTGTCGTCCAGCGCCAGCACGCGCCGCATCAGCACGTCGCGCTCCGGCTCCTCCGCCTCGCAGCGCTGCCGGTGCGCGATGGCGGCCGACAGCGTGCGCAGCGACTCCGAACCCGACTCCACCTCTGCCATAGACAACCGACTTGCACGTTGGTATCTTATGATTCAGACTATCAATCAGAACGGGGGCAAAGAAAACTGTTGCTTACAGCCTCGACTCACTGTAACTATTACTTTTATCTTTCTGCCCGACTAAACTAAAGTACCTTTCGTAATTATCATAGCGTACTCTGAGCGATGAAGACTTGGGGCTGAAAACGAAAACTTTGAAATTTCGATAGTAAAATATTCATAGTAAGACCATCACTAAAAACTATGTAAATATCTACGGTTCTTCAAATAAAAAGTTAAATAACAACAACGAAACTACACAGTCAAAATGAAATGTTTAAACACCTTTCTCAAAGTCCACAGAGTCTCTCTCCGGCGACAGTTCGTCTCCGCTAGAAATGCCGATACCGTCCGCCCCCTCCGGCCCGGACCACCAGTCCTCGACGCAATCTGTAACGAGTGCACAGAAAATAGAAAACACTTTTCTTAAAAAAAAATAAGACTTTAGAAATTCACATTACAGTTCAACAACCGGAATATAATTTCGATATCTATTGATAAAATATATTTTTAAATTGTACTCTGGGCATAAAATTTGACGCCCACACGGTCATGCGAATTGCGCTTTGATTTATGGTAGAACACCAATTGTCATATTTGTGACTTATAATTTGTTTTTTACTTTAGAATTTCAACCAACTGTTTACGTCACCAAGGTCATATCCCAGAATTTGGTAAAGGCAAAAAGCAAAGATGGATAGTAACGACCGAAGTTCTTCAAACAACCATTTCAAGAATTTACAGCTGCCTTTTTCAGAAATCTATAATGTTAACCCTGCGCAAAGTAGATCACATGAGTGCTCATTTGTATAGTTCAATCACCTTCCTTGCAAGTAGGAGAGCCCAAGTCTTGAAATCAGTTGTAATAAGCATGTAACGCGTGTCGTGATACTTCGGGGGCAAACGGGTGAGTTTAGTCGTCACATAGGCGGATAACTCACCGGGGTCCGTAACGAGACAGGGTTCAGTTTCGGAGTCGAGTAGGTCGGCGGAGTTGTCGTCGGAGGCGTCGTCGTCGTGCGGGGTGGCGGCGGCGTGCGCGGCGGCGGCATGGGCGATGCTGGTGGCGATGGGCGGCGCGGCCCGCACGGCGCGAGCGATGGCCGCCAGCAGCCCGCCGCGCCCCTCCTCCTCCGGGGTGCCGGCCTCGCCGCTGTCACTGCGACTGTGCAACATTCAAATTAAATAATGAGTTCACAAGCTTGAGTTGATTAGGGGGTTGGTGCTTCCCGCTTCCGTAGGTTTAACCCGCGATTCCCTACAAGTGACCCCTGGGTGGTGCTAAACGGGAGCCGAAAACATAACCGGTGGTAGGACCTAGTCCGACTGGCTGGCGACCACCCTCCAACTAGAGTCCGCCGCCAAATAGCCTAGCTGTGTTCCGGCGTGTGGGTTGGAGAGCCAGTTCTATNTTTACCCCAAGATTAAATTATTACAATTATTAACCTATATGTTTTGTTGATGTTCTAATAAATATATAAATAAATACATATGTTGATTTTAATAATTTAATAGCATTATGACGCAGAGTGAGTAATGTTTTTGCACGTGAGTGTACCATGCGCAAACTTACCCCCACTACGTCAACAAATGCTCAAGAAGTTTGCCGGTTATTATAACTAAAGATAGATTGATAGTATACTTTTTCATAGATTCAAGTTTTTTTTTTTTCCCCGTACTTAGGGTCTCGACATCTACTGTGTACTTTTGATAGTACTGTTGTTCTTGCGAGTGAAATATTCGTCATTTTTTAAACAATGAACTTTCTTCTTATTTTTTCGTTCTTAGCACTTGGGTTCAGTTTTATTCAATCATTTGTGTAGATGTGTGGGTGCGCACCTGAAGGCGTCGTTGTGGTAGACGGTGGGCTGCAGCAGGTCGGGGGGCAGCCCGTAGGCGGCGAGCAGCGCGCGCGTGAGGCGCTGCAGGCGGCGGGAGAGCGCGAGCAGCGCCCGGCCCGCGCCCGCCGCGCCGCCGCGCACCCGCGCCGCCCAGCACAGCGCCTCCTGGCGACGCTGCTCGCACAGCCGCACCAGCTGCCGACACTCCGCACGTCTGGAATACCGTAAGTTTTTTAAAAAATAAAAATTCAGTATTATGCATGCGGGATTCGTTATAATCCTACGCAGTTTCAATTCGAAATTTATAAAACATAATTGGAGCCTACAGGGTAATTCGGCTTTCAGTACGTTCGTTATTAATTACCTTTTGGGTTAAAGTTTGTTGACCAATTCCAATTCTTAGACATGGGAAGTGTATCTATATCATCACTAAATAGTATCAAACAAAGTCGCTTTCTCTGTCCCTATAGCCCTATGTATGCTTAAATCTTTGAAACTACGCAACGGATTTTGATGCGGTTTTTTTAACAGATAGAGTGATTGAAGAGGAAGGTTTATATGTATAATACCATCCATTAAATAGTTTAGAAATCAATAATAAATTACAGTTTCCGAAGCGAAGCAAGGGCGGGTCGCTACTGATCAGTAATATAATATATGATGAGCATGGCGTTTATTTTCTCGTTATGTCACATTATTTCTCCTCCGTGTCCATTTTAGGGTATTTTTGATTATTTTTTGATTATAATTAATGGTGAAGGAAGCGTCACCTCTTGTCGAGCTCGGCGTTGGTGGCGACGAGCTGTCGGTCGGCGTCCCTGAGCGAGTCGGCGAGCGCGGCGGTCTCGGCGGCGAGGAAGTCGTGCATCTCGGCGGCGTCGCGCTCCGCCTCCACCAGCCGCGCCTCGGCCGCCGTCGCGCGCTGGCGGGACGTGCACCACTCCTGCGCGGGACAACAACGCGGCCTCGTCATCACGCTCCAACTAATACAAGCTCATCAATTCAATACCAAATTTTTTCTTTTTTTTTATTGCTGATGTGGGTGGACGAGCTGTGAACTATACGAACATAGTAGGTTTTGGTTTGACAACGACCATATGGTGTTTTTGTGTGATCGGTGTGTAGCGAGCTACATTTTTTACTGGTGGTAGGACGTCTTGTGAGTCCGCGCGGGTAGGTACCACCACCCTGTCTATTTCTGCCGTGAAGCAGTATGCGTTTCGGTTTGAAGGGTGAGGCAGCCGTTGTAACTATACTTGAGACTTTAGAACTTAATCTCAAGGTGGGTGGCGTATTTACGTTGCAGATGTCTATGGGCTCCAGTAACCACTTAACACCAAGTGGGCTGTGAGCTCGTCCACCCATCTAAGCAATAAAAAAAATTAGATTAGAGATTAATAGGAACACTAACAATTTGCAGCTTATTGCAGTGGTCGCGCAGAGCGTCTATCTCCGCCCGCTGCCTGGCCGCCAGCTCCCCAGCGGACCGCAGCTGTTCGCCCAGCGCGTGCAGGCAGCCCTCCGCTCCGGCGTCCGCGCCTGCTGAACAAACCTCAACGTTAATTACGTTAAACTATATATGTTTCAATACTTATCTATTTTAAAAAAATCCAATGACAGAAATAAAATTAGTGTTATTAAATTATAATAATAATCTAAATGTGCCTATTTTGAGACTGGCCGAAAACGATGTCACCAATAAATATGTCCAGGCAGACGTTTATCTAAAAGGAGTGGAATTTACATGTACTAATTATATCTCGTCGGCCCCTGTCGCGTGCTTTACATTCCAGCACATCATACTTGGTGGTTTAATGTTATTAATATGAATACGTGAAGCCAAAACTTTGTAACCCTTTTTACGAAAATTGCGCGGACGGAGGAGTATGAAATTTTCCACACTTATAGAGATTATAGAGAAGAAGTGCACAATGCTAATATTTTTTTTAAATAATGCATAAAAGATACATTAAATCAATAAAGAAAACATTACACACACTACCATGTATTTGACACGCACACGCATGCATACTATTTGTTTATTGTCAAACTTTTCTTTGCAGTCTGTCAGTTATAGTCTGTCAAATTGAGAATAGATTAAATATTGTTTTCTCTTTATTAATATTTGTCGAAAGTGTAGTCTTGACGAAATCTATGATTAAAGAAGTATAATAGTCCTTGACAATAGAATCATAATAATGTACAAACTTATAATTTCCATTAGTTATAGTCGAGTTTCGACTACCGGGTACCACTAGTAATAATAATATTGTAGACCTATTTTCAGCTTTTGTAATGGAACGCGGCGGTCACCGACAATTAGTTTGTCGAGTGATGTCGTGTTTGAACGAAAATGAAATAAATAATAGTTTAAAAAAAAACAAAAAAAAATACGCGTTTATAGAAAATCCAACTAAAAAATAGAAAATAAATTTTAATAAATTTGAATTAAAAATAGTGTAAGAAAAAACGATTTTATTGTAAAAAAAAGCGTGGGGTGCATGGTATCAGTAGTTATAAATATTTTATGAAAAGATATGAGTAGAAGGGTTATTTTGATAATATCCTGAAAAGCACCGCACGCTTTTTTTACAATAAAATCATTTTTTTTAAATACCGAATTGTCATCGGACCTTAATAAGTATACCAAATTTCGAGTTAATCCGACGTTTTGAAGGGGGTCGAAATCATGTTTAAGATTCCGTTACATACTAACAGATGCGAAACCTTTTATTTGAATCTGCACGCGATGCAGAGAGGGTGTCCATGTGAGCTCATCTATCAGTAGATAATAATGTTTTACCACAAATCGACATATGATCATAACAATGGTACATGTATTGCGGAATTATATTAAAATATATTATGACAGCTTACCGATACAAAACAAGAAAAACAATAAATAATTCAAAAATGGAATACAATTTGTTGCCAGCTGTGTTTTTAAATAATACAGGAGTGTCAACACTGCCGTTGTTTACATATGCAAATCCTGAACTTTTGTTTTTAACATAAAATTTTTAGGTACAATATATTTTAGCATGTTGTATTTATTACAAATGTATTGTTTAAAGTTTACGTAGGTACTTTTATATCGCAAAATATAATTCGTTCACTATATGCTATTGCGACAAGATTGTAAAATATTTATATTCACGTTTATTGTCTATCATGTCTATCATATATTTAACGACTACAAAGAAAGTTTGGGACAAAATGAAGATCTTCAGATCGGGTGATATTGTAAGGCTACGCTGTGAATGTTGTCGTTCGGAACTTGTAATCTATGCTGGCTTGTCTTGAAAATGTTGTTAGCACAATTCAGGCATCTGTAAAATATCTCGTGTTCTTTGATGGTTCTTGATGAACCGCTACAACCTTCCCTTTGGGATGAAACCTACGAAGTGATTCCGACGCTCAAATATAGCAAGGCTTCAAATGCCAATCATTAACAAAAATACCCACTATGATCTCTTAATCCAAAACCCAGACCCGGTGCACCAAAATCAGGGTCAGTAATCCCTAAATGAACGAGGCAATAACTTGGTGCATGTGAATGAATTGAAATTTCTTTTTCGATGTGTAGTATTGTGCTTTTCATCCTTAAATCTGATTGCTCTTGTAATAGGTAATGCTGTGTATAAGAGATGCGACATCTTCAACATTTATATTATATATATTTTAAATTATAGATAGAAAAATAAATATATTTAAATACTTTTTTTTAAATATTGGACGCTACTCGTTGCTAAGGCTGACGCTGGCCTGTAACAGGTATACGTGCGTGCGTTCGAGTGCTACGCATTCTCCCTCGCTCTTCTCCCTTTCTAGTATGGTAGCGTTAAATGTTTAAGGCAACCTTGTTGGAGGTCGCATTAGAGTTTCATTTCAAAAAGTACCGTGTTCAATTTCCCATATTGACGTTAGAATGTCTTGTGATGATAGTAAGGTTGTAGTGGGACGGCGTACCTGCGCCGGCGAGCTCGAGCAGTCGGCGCGTGTTGTCGTCGAGCTGCGCGATGGCGGCGAGGCGCGCGGCGCGCTCGGCCCGCAGCTGCGCGTCGGCGGCGGCGGCGCGCGCCCGCAGCTCCGCGCACTCCGCCTGCAGCGCCGACAGCCGCGCGCTCTCCGCGCCGCGCGTGCTCGCCTGCACGCCGCGCTCGCACCGGGATACCGCGAGCTTTCTGAAATCGCGCCACGAACGATCTGTTTATGCTTTATATACAAGTCGTGTTAAGGTTCGAGCACATTATGTCGGGCCGCAGCGGGGCGGAGCGGGCTGCAGCGCAGAGCAAAATGCTTACCTAGCACATTAGTGACGGGCCGGGTCGCAGTGCCTTGACGGATTTTGAGTACAGTATACTGCCTGCGCAACTGCTGTGTATTTGCGTGCAACTGTACGTTATGGATTGCTCTGAGGAAGAACTTTCTTTTTTGTTGATTATCGTAATGAGATCTTGCAAATCATAAAGTTATTTGTATCCTCAAACTAAATTAATTAAAAGTTCTTCATTAATTTTTGTGAACACCACAGGAACACACAAATACCAAAAAATGCAAATATCGTAAAATAAAGAAGTGCGCGCTTGCAATCCGCTTGCTATAGCACACTGTTGACGGGACGCAGCGGGGCGTGGCGGGCCGCATCGCACGGACGCAAATCCGCGTCGCAACAATGCGAGTCGCTGCGGCCCGACACAGTGTGCGATAACTCTTACAAATTGTATTAAGCGATTTGAGCGGATTTTTGCGCTCCGCCCCGACACGCTGCGGCCCGGCATAATGTGCTCGAACCTTTAATCAACTAATGTTATTACTAACTGTACTTAACTATAGTATAGAGACTGAGCGATCCTAAACCAAAAGCTTTACGAGCAAAAATGGAACTTACGTTTCTATATTTGGCACGATGCCCGCGAGCGCCGCTTCAACGTCCGTTCCCAAGAGTACTGTCTGGGAGGTCCTCTCTGCGTATATCCGCACGCGAGTTTTTATGGCACAGCGTGAAGATGCCGACCTGGAAACAGTCGGTCTCCTCGACGTTGGTGGTGTTGTCTCATGTTTAGGTGAACCTTCGGCGTCCGTCTCACGTTTTCTCCGAGGCAAAGTAGCATATTTATCTGAGGTGGACCGAGTTACAGTGTTCTCTGGATTCGGCGTCAGTCGCGGTCCATTGGTTGGCCACCTTTTTTCTTCACATGGAGAGCTAGGGGTGCGACATCGAGCCGATGAGGTTTTGGTTGGCTTTGCGCGCAATGCGGGACTTTCTCTAACAAGATTCGGCAGATCTCCATTAGGTCTGATTCGAGGTTTAGGGGTGAGCGGTCGAGGCTTCTCTGGCAAAGTTGGTTTCTCTCTGCTTCTTGCACGTTCTCTAGTGGCCAAGTTCGGTCCGCGAGGTGCAGTAGCCGGTCGTGGCGTGGATGAACCGATAGGTGAACTTCGTTTCGGATCGGGAACGTTTACATTTACTCGTCGACGAGGTAGGGGAGGTGCGCCCGCCAACGAGGAACTCTCAGAGCCGCAGCCCGAACCACACGACACAACACTAGAAGCGCACGATCTCGATCCTCCACCACTGCTGAGTGCGCGGCCGCAACCTTCGACGCCGCTATCGCTGCCCGCAGCACCGAGCGCCAGCTCGTCTCCTGCCGGCAAGCTATCGAGGTCTCCCAGTGATCTCGCATCTTCATTCGTTTCACACGCGTCTTGCTCCCCTAACGACTGCTTAAAAACAGTTAAAGGTTCTTGTTCTGCAGTATCCACGACCACGCCGCTTTCGTCCTTGTTCGGATCAGTATCCTCTTTAATTTCACTTTCTTCATCTTTGATAGAACTTATATTTTCAGGATTTACGGAGATATCAGTTTCGGTTTTCGATTCGTCGAGTTGTTGTTGTTGTTGTTCAGAAATTTCACTGTTTTGAGTGACTCCCGCTGGGGATACGGTATCTTCTACACAAGTAGTACCTTCTTCCATGTCGAGTGTAAATTACATGTTCTGAAAAAAATTAAAGTTATTATGACTTTGAGAATCAAACGTATTAGAACAGAGCAGAGTAATCGGTTTAATGCAAATTTATAATAGTTTTATTAGTTGATGTTGTTGATGATGTTGAGTTGATGAGTTACAACGGGACTGCCGTTATAACTCCGATAGGTTCTCCAACCGCGACTATTTTCGACTATCAAACCCGGAAAAAAATTAATTTGGGTAATTGCTGTTGGCAGGGCTATTTCAATATTTAATCGAACCACCACCGCCCATCAAACAAATAAATAAAAAAAGAAACGCAGACAAACAAGGTACAGCAGTCTTTCGGTCAGTTTTCTTTACCGCTGACTATCTATCAGGTTTGGCAGTCAAAATAGCAGTAATTTAATAGCCTCTTGTATGAAGCCCATGTAACTTTAAATTTGTAATACCTACATAACATTGTAATTAAGTCTATAATGATACCCCCAAAACATATCAACCTAATAATGGATATAATGCAAGTCATGCAAAAATGGACAAATTAGGCCCTATCCCATATAAGCAAGATTCACAAAGATCCACTGTCGCCCAAATCTATTCTTGGCTATTCAACCATATATTTTCCAAGATCTGAATTAGAACGAAGAAGGGATAATTCCGTAGTGGCAAAACTGTCTAGAATTAATTTCAATGAGATCCGGACTATTTCAATGAGATCCACGTATTTTTCTAGAAGGTATGTTTACTGTACGGACGACGCAATCAACGATATAAACGAATACTGTGAGTGTGTACTAGACAGTAAAGTTCACGGTTACGACACAGGTTTACGGCTTCATTTGTGTCGACATCACTTCGAACATAAAGCTTGCTTCGTTCTACGTGCGCGACGTATGTACAAGGTATTCTACAACATAAAAGCGGTTCGCAAACAGTACATGCTCGATTTACATTAAAATATCCAAACAGAATTACAAGTAGAGAAACGAGTGACAACGGACAAAACCTATGCACGCCGCATTGTGGAGTTTGTCTGTAGAATGCAGCGTTGAACACGCTGTAGTTCTCATGGATCGGAGGCCATTCGACGCTGTCCCTTTTGAAAATTATTTATGAATACGAATATCTGTACTTTCGATATTTTTGAAATAGATGACATGAATTTTTATTTTATTTATTTATTTCAAATTTTGCATCCATATTACATTCATTAGCGGGCTAAAAAAGAATATTAATAATAATACAAAAACCAAAAATGAAAATGAATGTCATAACTACCTTTACTTAAACGGGCGGAACTCAAAATCGTTCGAGCATCACGAGGGAAAACATGCATACATAGATTGTGATATCAGCTATCTATCTACTTAATCACTTTATTGTGCTTTATGAATATGAACGTGCCACACTCAATAGCCCCAACTTATTCCTATCTCGTCCTCGAAGGTCAAATATTGTTCGAATTTTAATATTCTCGAATATTTTGAGAAATTTCATCGAGTTGAGCGCGCATCAATTGTTACGATGCGCGTCCGCAAGAATATAAATACAAGTAATAAAGTGCAAGTAAGGATTCGAAGGGTCATCGCTCTTTGCGATTTGCTGCAGGGGGCCATTCAATACGGACTATTTAGATAGTGAGGCAAACTGTGAACACCTAGTACGATTACTGCCAATCTAATTTGTCACGGTTGTAGAGCGAGGCTCGCGTCGCGTCGCGTCGCGTCTGTACAAATGCCTCTTTATAAACAGTAAACATATGGTTTATTTTAAACGACATAAAAAGAACAGACACGTGAAGCTTGTTAGTTAATTGAACACGTTGAAAGGCCACGGCGAAGGTCTAAAGTCGAGGCCACATCATCATACTCTTTAAAAATACAAGTTCTTCACATTCTACCCGTAAACTAACGAGCTAGTTGAAGTTGACCACACATAAATCTCTAGAGACGCATTTTTACGTCGAGGAAACAAATGAATAGCTATATCCGCTTTCAATCCAAGTAAATTGTACTACAAACTATCGTATAAAAGTTGTATTCAATATACATTTTTATCAGGGAGTGAAAACAATATGTTTTAAGAGTTTTAAGTTAATTATTATTAGTATTAAGCGATAGGCAGCGGCTTGGCTCTGCCCCTGGCATTGTTGAAGTCCATGGGCGACTGTAACCACTCACCATCAGGTGGGCCGTATGCTCGTATGCCTACAAGGGCAATAAAAAAAAAGTGCAACTTTGGATACGATTGCGCTCGAGACATTGCTGATATTCATGAGCGCCGGTGAACGTTCACAAAGGGTAAAAATAAAAGTATTCATATAATAACGACGCTCTTTATACATCAGAAGATTCCGTGAATCGAAATGCACTTAAGGAACTTTCCCGGGCCCACGAAATCGATTAGAAAGATTTACTTTACATTCTGCAAGTTGATTGCGACACCGAATTAAGTCAAAACACGTTTTGAAAGTTTTAACTTTTAAATTATTACGAATGCGTTCATAAACCGCAACTATCGCATTAATATTTCACGATAAGATAACAACAATTTATGTAGCATCACTCGATACCTATTGGTGAAACAGTCGATGATTACTCAGATATATAATAAAATCGAATATTTTTATAACGAAATGAGTTTTATCATATACCGGGGAAATTTAAGTACTAGCCGCGATAACCTTTACGTCATTGAAATATGTCAAATGTATAAATCATTGTACGTCTTCTTACAGAAAAAAAATCTTGGTTAGGTACATGTGAGTCATGTCGGTCTGGGGACCGGCGAGGGGGGCCTAAGAAGACGACGTGCAAGCTGCTCTGCACGCGTTTTACGCAAGAGCATCCGGGTGATGGAAGGCCGGCTATCCTCGACCCACGCTGGTTCTGGCCCAGCGGGGTATTCCGTAGGGTAACCCACTCTAACCGGCGCCATCTAGGCGGGCTTCGGACAGTTTGCCGACCGAGAGGGCTGGTGGTCGTGGCTCCGACGACCGCCAGTCCGGCGTTCCGAAGGGGAGGGTGATGGGAGAGATGTGCTCCGCACTAAACGCTTCACTTTCCCCCCTTTGCCTTGTCATGAGTTTTGTCTCATGCAGGTTTGGACGTTGGTTGTTGAGCGACAGGTTTTAGTCAGTTCGACTCTGACATACCCCGCCCAGTATCCCCAGAAAAGGGCGGAAGTCCGGTGATTTCCTCCTAGAGAAGGTACATGTGAGTGTGTTAACTCCTATGTAAAACATAAATTGTAATATCATAACGCATGCGAGTATTATTAATCTCTATGCAGCTGCCTGCTGCATATAAAATATGGCAAAATACTAAATATTAATTTAATCATAATTAAGCGAACAACGAATTGTCAAGACGCTTTTTAATGAATTAATTCAAAAAAGTTATCGTGATGCAATATCGATACCAAATTTTTATGTTAACAGTTTGTTGTGTGTGTTGCACAGTTTATACAAAATAATTTATGTGAAATTAACTATAAAAAATCAATTAATTGTAATATCTTAAAACTAGTACAAGTTTCATCGTCTACTCTATAACAGTGGTGGGCAAACATTTTCAATTGCGGGCCACAAAGTTTAAGAAATTCTAGAGGAGGTCCAGAATTATAGAAAAAATGCATTTTGTATTAAAGCTTTTTAATAAACAAAATACCTTTTACTTTTACGCCTTGTTAGGCGTGTGAGACGTGAGGCGTGTGATAGATAGGTGAAAAGCATGATTTTTTCCAATAAATAAACTAATACCTGTGACATACTGCCAAAATAATTATAATGATGGTAAGTTAATTATGAGATAGTGAAAGCTCAAATTTGAGCTCCTTTTTAATGAAAACACCCCTGACGAATATTCGTATTGTTTTAATTAAAAAGGAGCTTTCATTAAAAATTTGAAGATTTTCAATTATAAACGTCAGATTTTATTTTACGCGCCAAAATGCTGACTAGAATATTTAGGATGGATGGACTCTCGGCGGGCCGGATTAAATACTTCCGCGGGCCGGAGTTGGCACACGGGCCGTACTTTGCCCATCACTGGTCCATACAGACTTCGCTCAAAAGTGGTCTTGTCTCAAAGAGATCGCTCGCTATGCGTTTTTCATATTATTATGCGTATTGTCTTTATGAAAAATATTACTTTTCCTATTTGATACACCAAAAAGTTTAATAATATTTTAGTATAAGTACCATAGACACGAAACAAACGAAATTACATCTTTTTACATTCATAGACATTTAAGACATTTAACTCTAGTTATAAAATAAGCATAATGTTTTAGTAACTGAACGCTTTCAGTTATTTGGCTTGAATCCATCTGATGGCGTCAGTTCGACGAGTCAGTTAAATTATTATTAACTGGGTTAATGCAGACAAAGCTTATTGTGCATTAAATAAACAATTTAAAGCCGCCCTACGCCGCGATCTCTGTGTGATTGATCGCTATGATAAAATAACCTTTCGTAATTCTGAATCTGCAACGAGAAGGAATGAAATATAATCAATGCGGGTTCTGTTTATCTACAACTCACGAGATCTCAGTTCGCCTGGTATTAAATAAATGTATCTATTAAATGGTTACTGGAACTATTGGACATGAGACGCCACAACGACACCTGGAGCAATGATTCTTAATTGTATCGTAAGTGCCTTTGAAAAATAAATCATTTTCTTGAAAAATGTCAAGAGAACTTCCGCTCATCCGTTTTTTTTTCCTACCTAAGCTGATAGCCTTGAGAGGCTATGTCCGCGTAACCGGGCGAGTAGGTGAGCTGACGTGGCTCAAACCGGGAGTGTTGCTAACACTGGCCCTAGCTAGAGCAGTGCTTCGCAGAATCGACCACCGGATCGGAAACGCGACTCACTGAGAAGATACGGCGAGAAACTCAGTGGGTTGGCGCTCATCCGTAAGCACTTATAAACGTTCTTCGTGCTATGTACATACTCGTATAAGTCGTCCATTTGACTTCTAAAAACTGAAACGATACCTATTCTCAAACTTGTGACATTCTG